ACAACAGAGGCTGTCTGCGATTGGCTGCTTACAGTATCCTCCTCCTCCAATAGGCAGGAATGGAGTGTTTTGATTGGCTGGCAAGGAGATCATGGTGCAGGTGTGATTGGCAGTTTTCAAGGGCAAGGGAAGTGGCAGCCCTGACCAGCTTAATGCCAGCCCAGAGGGACCACCGCTAGGCAGGAGCATAAGCCAACCTCTAGCGAATGGGGAGACGTGTTCCCTGGGGCAGGTGGGCCCCTAACTGCTGCTGGGGGGATTCTTGTGCCTTCCTCAGGAGCGGCTGGCTGTGGCCGCTGCTGGATGGGGAGGGGGAGGAGGGCTGGAGTGGGTGGAGCTGAGCACGGCTGTGACCCGGTCTGGCAGTCTCCATGCGAAAGGGCATTTCAGACGTGTAGCGTTGTGGGACTCACCCCTGCGGCGCCTCCTGCTGGTCGTCTCCGGGAATTAGCTCTTCGACCCAGGAGCGCCCTCTGCAGGCCGGTGTCCCACTGTCGCTTGGCCCCCATGTCCCTCCCGGACCCGGTGCCCTGTTCTCTGGGTGCTGCCCCCTGGCAGTAACCCCTCAGTCTTAGGGTCTCCCCTCCCCAGGGAACCCACACTACTATCCCCACCTTGCCTCAGTATAAGGCTACTGTCAGTCATCGTCTAGCCCCACGCCCTGGGGCAGACTGCAGTATCAGCCTACTCATCACTGGCAAGGTTGGGTTTGGACCTGCTGCCTTGGCCTACCCCGGGCTGCCCTCTGCAACCCCTAGTACCCCTTGGCCTTCTGCTAGGCCGCAGCCTGGGGCTTTCCAGGCTGGAGTTCCCCAGCTCCTCAGCCTTTCCCCAGCCCTGCTCCACTCAAGTACCCTGTCTCTAGCTCCCTGCAGCCAGGCCCTTCTCCCTCTGACCACAGAGAGAGACTTTCTACTTGAGTTCCTGGTTCCCAGCCTCATATAGGGCCAGTTGGGCCCTGATTGGGGCGTGGCCCCAGCTGAGCCTGCTTCCTCCCAATCAGCCCAGGCCTCTTGCCCTTCCACAGCCCTCCTCCAGGGCTGTTTTAAACCCCTCAGGGCAGGAGCGGGTAACCACCCCGCTACAGGACGCCATAGCCCATTCAGTTGAGACAGACAGTGTGCCAGGCGCAATGGGGTCTGTGAGATGGACACCTAAGCTCGACTGAGATTCCCCAGCTCATTCCACAGCAGAAACCTGAGTGATCGTGATGGCTGATTTAGGCCTGGTTTGAACCAGTGACCTAGGGATAAAGGGCCCCGTAATCGCCCTCTCTCTCTCTCTCCTAACTCTGTGCTCATCATCACTATAGTATCTGAGCAGCTCATCTCCCAGTGTTGGTTCCCCTCTTCGGAGGCCTCTATGTCCGCCATGACTTTAGGATCCTCCTCACCCTGCACCGTGACCTCCCACTGGAATGAGGGAACTGTCAACCTCCAGCGTGAGACATGAGGGAGCAGGAAACAGGGCTGTCCCAGCCCCCGGCTCAGCACCGTGGGACTCCCTAGTGGTGGAGATTAGAATGATCACGACCCATAGCACCTTCCTAGCGCAACGGCCCAGCCTTCCCTCAGCAACAAAAACATCCCTATCAATGGGGCAGGAAAGGAGTGACTGTGACGTTACCCAGCGTTACCCAGGGTTGGGCGGCACCTCACCACCACCTGCCCTGAGCAACAGGAAGTCTTGTCTGTGCCTGCTCTGGGTCAGCTCCCTGACACCAGCAGCCTCTTTGCAGGCCTCTCCGTCTCTGTGCAGGTGGCAAGAGGCACACATCAACCCCTGAGTGTTCGCGTGTTCCCTGTATAGTCCAGCCCCTTATCCACTGGACACTCACAGAACTACCAGGCCTGCTCTTCCCAAAGGAACACATCTCAGGACCAGCACTTGGCTTAACCCTACAGCACTGAGATATAGCGAAAACAAGAATAAATTGATCATCGAAGCACAGAGATTCACGTGATAGTGAGTAAGAACATTGGGAACAAGTGGTTACGTACAGAACAAAATCATAACATGCTTTCTAGAGCCTAAACTTAACTAACCCGTTCTCCCCTGTCTATTTATTGACCCAAAGTTCTCTTCAGCATTCTCAGCCATGCCTGGTTGAGACTCCTCTTTCATGAAGTAAAACCCGCTGCCCATTTACTTGCTAGGAGAAGGAGGACAGGTTGTCGTCTTTGTTCCCCAGATACTCTAGAGCAAACCTTGGATGTGTACCTCAAGAAAAGCCCTCTCCCCCACCCCCTGCAGTGTTTACTTGTAATTTTCTCGCTTTGAAATTCTTACAATCCTTCATTACCGGTCGGTTCAGACAGGTGAGAGGAGAACCATTGTGAAACATACAATACTTAATTTATACGTCAAGAGCCAGCTAGATAAATATTTCTTATCTGAAAGAGAGCCTGCTTTTCACTTTTGCTGGAGACCAGTCCCCAGACACACTCCAAGAACACAATTTTCAGTATACATCCGTAACTCTTTACACAGCCTCTGTTTGTGCGTTTCGCGGCAATGTTGGTGACCAGTGTGACATCGGCTTTCATTTGACACGTCATGTGACGTTTATTGGTGAACTATAACGTACATACCCGACCCAAGAGATCCCGGCAACCTCTCTGCACCCCTTTGGTGCTGCTTGCCGGTTGGCATTAAGAGGTTCCTGGGTCACATCAGACCCTTTGGGGTCTTTAACTTGTCAGGCACGTGGATATCATGCGGTTGAGTCAGCTATAATTGTCTGGACAATTGTCCCGTTATTGTCACTAAAAACCACTCCGAGTCCGGTCCCTGTCATCTTCCCAGATCTCTTGTATCTGCTGTCAAGCTAGTGAATTGGCGCTAGATTTGCTTGTCTGCAATTCGGTGTGTGTCTCAGCATTGCTGTGATGACCCTCCCTTCGCCGGATTCTCAGCTGATGTAAATTAACCTATGGTGATTTCCACCGTCTGAGGATTTGGGCCCTGTTTCTCTGCGACTGTTGAGCTGCTAATTCAAGAAGCTTAATGGGGCAGGACGACATTTCCCTGTGTACCCATTTCGGATCTTCCCATTTCATTAGGGCTTCTGGTAAATGCTAGAACTGCAGCATAGAGACCGACATTGGTGTCCCAAGGCTGCCTTGTCATGCCTTTAACTCTCTGATGGTTTAGGAAGGAGGGTTGATTAATTAGTTAGGTGATTAATTTAGGTGAAGCTGCCGCTACTCTCTGGAGTGTCAAGAAATCTGTGCTAATAAGAGCCTAATGAAGTTGACATTTACAGGAAGGATTGTGCATTTTATGGGTGCCAGGAGCTGCCACGGACTTACTGTGTGACCATGGGCAAGTCACTGTCCCTTGCTGAGCCTCAGTTTCCCCATCTGTAAAGAGATCATGATGATTGCCTCATTGACGTGTTGTAAAGCTTAATTCACAAATGGGGGAAAGGCACCCCGTGCAGAGGGGGTTTAAGTAGGGATTTAGTAGGATTTAAATGGTTCAGGTGGTTTTGTGGCCAGCCTTCACCATGGGGCGAACATCACCCTAATGTTTCTCAAGAGCTTTGGCGTCCTTGGTTGGAATAGACCCTAGAAGGGCAAAGGATTATTTTTGGTTAGCCTCTTTCATACATATTATGGGCCTGCTGCTATTTAAGTCAATGAGAATGACCGGTCCCTGTATCCTGATGGCGTCGTATAGTTAAATAATAGAGGAGCGGGTGAAATGCAGTGATTTGTGTGGAATTGCTGTGTGTGTGTGTGTGTGTAATTAAAGGTGGCAAATTCAAATCTGATGAAAAGAAGTCCTTTTTCACACAACACACAATTAGCCTGTGGAACTCACTGCCACTGGATGTCATTGAGGCCGAGAATTTAGCAAGATTCCAAAAAGGGATTGAACAGTTGTATAGATAACGAGAATAGTCAGAGTTATCAGAATTAATGATGATACACATGGTGGAAGGGCTTAAACCTTGTTCTTCAGAGCTTCATTCAGGCTCTAATTATTAGAGACCAATGTGCGAGGGCAGATTATCCCACATCTCTTCACTGCAAGATTCTTGCGCCTTCCTCTGAAGTATCGGGTTCTGTCCGCTGTCAGAGACAGAACACTAGGCTAGATACCTCAGGTCTGCTCCAGTCTGGCAATTCATTGGCTCCTAATCTTTGGGGCATACTTCAAGTCCTTCCTGGGTCTGGAAGACAGCAGGACAGCCCTGTCTAATCTACTCTAGATCCACATCTGGCCTTTTAAAAATGCAAAATGGCAAAGCAAATCCGTGTTGCTATAATCCAGAGCCTCCTGCCAGTGGGGGATATCTGGCATGGTTTTGGATACTTTGTCTGTCCCATTGCTCGCGCCAGTTGGGTATTTGTGCATGTAAATGACCATGTGTGTTTCCAGTTGGTGATTTGGGTGTGAGTCACATATGCAGATGAGGTGGTGGATTTGGGACGTGGCTGTTAAAAATCCATCGCCTCTTTTCTATCTTTGGGAAGGATGTGGGGGACATTTGTGTCGATCGGCTCCAATGCCATGAAAATGGTTGCAAAGTTTATGAGCATTTATGGGAGTCAGTTTGGGGAACGTCTGTAGGAGGGAAGACTTGACAGGAGCGTGCGTGTGAGCACATGCATTGGTATACGTGTGAGGGTACACCTGTTTGGCGGAGTGGGCACCAGAAGTGTGCTAGCGTGCTGCGTGTCAGTGCGTGAGAGTGAACATGTGTGCTGTGTGTGTGAAAAGACTTGTGTGCACGGCAGCGTACACACGTGTGATGCTGTCAGTGACAGGTGTGTATCTGTTGCAGGCAGAGTGTGTCTCTAGTGATTGCTGTCACTGGTTATTTTCATCCCAGCATGATTCATGGCCAGGCTTGCATGGCTCTGCTAGTGGGAGAGCTGGTGAGGGCAGGCGTTGCCCGGTAGAACTTTGTTATTGGTCTCCTCCTTTCTGGGTAATAGGGTGACCCCAGGGAGGAGCGACATGTAACCCTGTCTCTTCTCTCTCTCTTCCAGGAGCATGATATCGAGACCCCATATGGGCTGCTGCATGTGGTCATTCGGGGGTCCCCAAAGGGAAATCGCCCGGCCATCCTGACCTACCATGATGTTGGACTCAACCGTAAGTGCCACCCTTCCATCCTGGCCACCGGCGGCTACCATGTAGGTTTTCTGAGCACAGCCTCAGCGGAGAGCAGAGAGGTTCTGTGGAAGCGGAAAGTGAGGGGGATTAGAAGCAATCCGTGAGTCAGGCTGCCACCTACAAAAGAAGGGCAGGAGAAACTAATCCGAGTCCAGGAGAGACTGGAGAGTCTAGCTGAGGGGCTCCTTGCCTGTTGCTGTCAGAGTTGGGGTTGCTGGCTGTGTGGGTCTGAGACAGCCACTCCTCCCTGATCTCAGAGCAAACCCAGATGAACTGGAGCCAGGCACTTTATTAGCCAGTGATGATGGGTGATGGCACAGTCACCACCGGTGGCCCAATTGGCTTCCGACTGAAGTCCTCCAGAAATTCTGCACCTGGGTTGAAATCCTAACGTCGGTGAAGTCAATGGGAGTTTTGTCACTGACTTCACTGGGCCCAGGATTTCACCTCTGGAATCAAGCTGCAGTCTGTATTCTTGGCTTAGGGTCCGAGAACCAGCACAGATGGGTTCTGTGAGTGGCACTGGGACGGAACAGAATGGAGTGGTTAGAGGATGGGGACTGGGAGTGAGGACTTCTGGGTCAGTTCTGCCACTGACTCTGTGTGGCACTGGGAAAGGCCCATTTAACTCTCTCTGTCTGAGTTTTCCCACCTGAAGTAAAATCATGAGTGATGTGGAGAAAGTGAATAAGGAAAAGTTATTTACTTGTTCCCATAATATAAGAACTAGGGGCCACCAAATGACATTCATGGGTGCAGGTTTAAAACAAATAAAAGGAAGTTCTTCTTCACACAGCGCACAGTCAACTTGTGGAACTCCTTGCCTGAGGAGGTTGTGAAGGCTAGGACTATAACAGGGTTTAAAAGAGAACTGGATAAATTCATGGAGGTTAAGTCCATTAATGGCTATTAGCCAGGATGGGTAAGGAATGGTGTCCCTAGCCTCTGTCTGTCAGAGGATGGAGATGGATGGCAGGGGAGAGATCACTTGATCATTGCCTGTTAGGTTCAGTTCCTCTGGGGCACCTGGCATTGGCCACTGTCGGCAGACAGGATACTGGGCTGGATGGACCTTTGGTCTGACCCAGTACAGCCATTCTTATGTTCTTAAGTTAAGATTATTGTTCCCATTTTTGTCTCGCAAGGGTGTTGTTATTTTTATTTTGATGTTTGAGAAGAAATGATTTGCACTTTCATTCTAGATCATTTTATGGCCCCAAAATTTCTTTTATTTGAAATGGTTTCTTTCCCCCCCCTCCTTTCAAAATTGAAGTTTTTCACATTTCAAAATTTCACATATTTGGATGAGAAAAACTGATTTTGGCGGAAGTGACACGGTGACTTTTGAAAAACCTTTAACTATTTGCCTTAAAACGGAAGCAACAATTTGAGAGTGAAAATTCTTTGTATTTATTTATAGCAAACCCCCACCTTTCCCAGGCGCTTTGTAAAATTTGGGACAGTTTTGTAAAATCTGTTTTTTGTTTTTTGTTTTTTTTTTGCACAAGTCTACTTTTGAGGATTTCAGATTTTGTTGCAAATATTTTGTACAGCCCTCAACCCTGGCCCTGCCTGCCGTGCAAGGGTGAATTCCATTGAATAACACTGAGTTCCTGTTCAAAAAACTGAACAGAGGAATTTTAAAGGGCCAAGACTGTAGCTGTGAGTCCAAGTGAATGTTCATAAAGCACCTGGGATGAAAGGGAAAGCATGTATTTTACTTATTTATCTATCTAGGTATGTATATGGTCCTCAGCCCTGCAATAGCTGAGCACCTCTTAATCCTGAATAGATTTTATTCTCACAACACTCCTGTGAGGTAAGGAAGGGCTTTATCCCCATTTTGCAGAGTAGGGACCAAGTCACAGTGGTATTGCCTAGGGGTTAAAGCACTGGAATGGGAGTTGGGAGACCTGGGTTGGGTTCCCAACTCTGCCACTGGCCTGCTGGGTGACTTGGGGCAAGTCACTTTCCCCTGTGTGTGCCTCTCTTTCCCCATCTGTGAAATGGGCATAATGAGACTGACCTCCTTTGTAAAATGCTTTGAGATCTATAGATGAAAAGTGCCATATCAGAACTAGCTATAATTATTAAGTGATTTGTCTAAGGTCACACAAAGGGTACGTCTACGCTGCAAAAATAACCCATGGCAGTGAGTCTGAGCCTGGGTCAACTGACTCGCACTCACGGTATAGGGCTAAAAATAGCAGCATAGACATTCCCACTGGGGCTGGAGCCCGGGCTCTGAGACCCACCTCCTTCGCCGGTTTCAGCACCCTGGTGGGAACGTCTACACTGCTATTTTTAGCTCCGTAGTGTGAGTCTCAGGACCTGAGTCAGTTAATCTGGGTTGTGAGACTTGCTGCCGCTGGGGGAGGGGGGGAAGGAGGTTTGCAGCATATACGCAGCCAAAGAGTCTGGCTGAGACATGGTCTTTTGAGTCCCAATCCAGCCCCCTACCCACCAACTTGTCCTTCCTATCCCATCGCCGTCTCCTGGTGAATTGATTATTTTTGCATGCGTCTGACGAAGTGGGTATTCACCCACGAAAGTTTATGCTCCAATACGTCTGTTAGTCTATAAGGTGCCACAGGACTCTTTGTCACTTTTTACAGATCCAGACTAACACGGCTACCCCTCTGATACTTGATTATTTTTGATTACACCAAGATGGAATTGTCTCCAGTACACAGTTCCTGATACAAAATTGTATTAACGCAATTCCCCATACTGGAGTGTGTGTGAAATCCAGGTTCCATTGAAGTCAATGGGAGTTTTGCCATTGACTACAGTGGGGCCAGCATCATCACTGTATGGCTATCGAGCAGTATCCACTGACTATGTGAATGGCTGTAGTCTAATTGGCAGCTGTGATTAATCAATTAGATTACATGGATTTGCATAAGCACCATACAGTGGTTTCTCAAACTGTGAATATGTAACTGAGATCTTCCAAGCTGCAGCTGGCACCAGGGATGCCAGCTCAGCTCAGATTGATTGTCTCCTCTCACACTGACATCCATGGGAGCTTTGCCAGTGAGGTCAGAGGCTGCAGGATTTAGACCAGGGGTCGGCAACCTTTCAGAAGTGGTGTGCCGAGTCTTCATTTATTCACTCTAATTTAAGGTTTCGCGTGCCAGTAATACATTTAAACATTTTTAGAAGGTCTCTTTCTATAAGTCTATAATATAGATCTAAACTATTGTTGTATGTAAAGTAAATAAGGTTTTTGAAATGTTTCAGAAGCTTCATTTAAAATTACATTAAAAGGCAGAGCCCCCCGGACGGGTGGCCAGGACCCGGGCAGTGTGAGTGCCACTGAAAATCAGCTCGCGTGCCGCCTTTGGCACGCGTGCCATAGGTTGCCTACCCCTGATTTAGACTCTCATGCCTGTCCTTTAGCTTTGCTGCAATCCCTACAGCCTGCCACAGCTCCTGTCCCTACAACAGCTGCTGTTTTTTACCTTCCGAGAGAATCCAAGCCCTTCCCATCCAATTCCATTGTGAAACAAAGTAACAACACCAAAGGGTTGCATCCATTCTGGGGAGGGTAAGCCTTGCTGAGTATAATAATGACTCAGCAATAATCATATCTGGGTAGGGAGCCCTGAGGATTTCAAAGTAGGGTTGGGTGCTTAATAGATTTTCAGTTCTCTGGCCCTTTCGAAAAACCAGGGCGGGGGGAAATTTTGTTGCGGGTTGAACCAAAACCAAACTTTTTTGAAATGCTTGCCGAATCAGAAAGTTGAAAGCCATTTTTTTCGGGGTCAGAGAGTTTTGATTTTGTCCAAACAAAGTGTTTTGCACATTTCAGTATTGACCCTTTTAAAACATTTTTGACTTTTTTTTTTTAATTAAGGGAAATCTTGAACTGAAAAATCAAGAAGTTTTGTTTTTAAAAATGTTGAAACTAGCCTTTTTGGTTTTTCCACACTTTGGGGGTGGGGTGGGGGGGTTCAGCTGAAACCATTCGGCAAATCCAACACAAATCTGTGAAACATTTTGGTGCCACTGAATCTGCATTTTTTTGCTGAAAAAAAGTTTTGGTTGAAAAATCTTGCCCGGCTCTACTTCAGAATTAACCCAGGATAGAATTATTGCCTCCTAAACAGTGAAGACCCTCCAAAGTTGCTGTTAAAATAAAATAGTACATGGTGATTGCGATAGGCCGAGTACAGAGGAGCCCAAATCCCAAACTGGCAGATGACGTTTTGTGTAGGATTATAAAATCCAAAATCTCTGAGCACATTCATATTGGATTATGTGAGACACTTGTATATTTAAAAATCACCATCTGGCTTCTTCAAAATATATTCAACTAAGAATGGCGTAGAAATGGTCGTTTAAACCACAGCATGCAGCTGTTGAGTAATCACATGGCATTTTCCTTACCTTATAATAAATCTGTTGTTCATCCTAAATGAAACGGCTGTTGAGAGAGCCCTGCTTTGACAAAGGGAATTTCACACTGCAGTTAATTGGAAGCAAGTGAATATTGATATTAAACTCCTCCATGCCCCCTTCTATCTAGACTTGCTGGTGGCTGCAGTGTGGTGAATGCTGCCTTCCGGGACGGGATGTGCCAGCTAGTTTGAAACGGTTCCGATTCTGCTACCACTTCTATGGGTGTAAATCAGTAGTACTTCTCCCATACTAACACAGTCCCACAGCTTGCAGAAAGCAATGCCTGCCTCCAGCCTGCGGACTACAACAGGGAGGAGGTTAGAGGAGAGGTGGAGGGAGGTCTGATACGCCTGCCTCGTTTTTTGCCCAGTACAACAGCGCAGAGCTGGCAAACATGGTTTGATGTGACCATGAGACATGAGGAACAAGGCTGTGCCGAATCAGCCTGCTAGTGTTTAAAAGCGTTTGCCCCTCCCAGGCCCAAGCAGTGGGGGATTCGGGGGCAGACAAAGGGACCCGGTCGAGATCAGCCCTGCCAGCCTGTGTCTTGGCTTGTGGGGCCCATGCGCGCATCACACTCTCTTTCCCTTCTCCTCCCCGCCCACTCCAGTCTTGTGAGCAGCCTGACAGCGAAAGCGATCCCCTACCCGGGGCGCTCACACCAGCACAGCAGATGGGCCGGGTGAAAGGACAGTGGGACGCAGGCAGCCAGCAAATGCGAACCAGCCCAACACCCAATGCTGCTGGGTTGCCAGAGGGGAGCTGGACGGTTGGTCAGCTGTGAATTCAGTGCCGGCAAAGAGCACTGGGTTGGGGAGTGGAGTCCTGACCCTCTGGGGAGAATGTGGGAGAGTCTCCATGACCCATTTGGTTCTTGGCCAGGCTGCTGAGATGGCAATCCCAGTATACCGAGCTGGCCTGAGACTGGCCTCTCCCGAAAGCAGTGGAACAGCCAGTAGGTCGGAATAGCCTTGGGTTCGCGGCAGCCTGGGTCATGTTCAAACCACTGGCCTAGAGCTGGAGGCCGTGGTGTTCGCTGCCCGTCCCGTCCGCTTCGTCCCAGCTGCTTAGAGGAGTCCAGAGGTTTGTTCTTTCCCCCTGGGATCCCGGTGTGAATGTTTTCAGGGGCATTGGTGGGTTGTGTTCAGTTCTGTGGCCTGGCAAGGCCTCCCTAAGCAGCTGTGGTAGGGTTACCATACGTCCGGATTTCCCCAGACATGTCTGGCTTTTTGGTGCTCAAATCCCCGTCCAGGGGGAATTTTCAAAAAGCCGGACATGTCCGGGGAAATAATGAGGCATAAGCCAGGGTCCGCCCGGCCCCAGCACGATCCGCCGGGTCCGCAACGCAGCCCAGTCACCCCGGCTACATTGTAGCGAGCTCAGGCGGGGAGGGGAGGGGGGGGCGCAGCCGCAGAAGGCGGCGGAGGGGCCGCTGCTGCCCCCGCAGGCCAGGCGGACCGCGCGCCCCAGCCAAGCCCGCCTGACCACGGGGAGGCCGGGCCCAGCCAGCGGCTTGGGCTTCCCTCGCGGGCGGGGACCCCCTGGCCACTGGGGGACCCTTCCTGCGGCCCCGTCGCCCTGCGCGGCTTGGAACCCAGCGCCGCGGGAGCTGTTTCAGCGGGGACAGGCCGGGGAACGTGCTCGACGGCGGCAGGAAGGAGATGGTGTGTGCCGGGGCTGCAGGGACCTGCGCCGCCCCGGTCGCCGCTGAGCCTCCGAAGCCCCCGCCAGGCAGAGGCTGCCGGGTGAGCGGGGGAGCAGGGCAGGTGGGGGGCGCAGAGGCTGCAGGGCGAGGAGGAGCAGGGGCAGGGGGGCGCAGAGGCTGCAGGGGCGGGGGGCGCAGAGGCTGCGGGGGCGAGTGGGGAGCAGGGGTCACAGAGGCTGCAGGGCAAGGGAGGGGTGCAGGGGCTGCAGGGTGAGTGGGGAGCAGGGGTCACAGAGGCTGCAGGGGTGGGGGGGTGCAGGGCGAGTGGGGAGCAGGGAAGCACTTAGCAACCCCCAACCAAGATCAGAGCGGGAGGGAGGAGGGGGAATGCAGGGTGCTCAGAGGAGGGGGCAGAGTTGGGGCAGGGACTTTGGGGAAGGGGTTGGAATGGGGGCGGGGAAGGGGTGGGGCCGGGGGTGGGGAAGGGGCGGAGTTGGGGCAGGGCCAGGGCCCCCATGGAGTGTCCTCTTTTTTTCAGTGTTGAAATATGGTAACCCTAAGCTGTGGGCCCGGGCACAGCAAGCCAGCTCTGGTTTGAATCAGACTTTCTCCTCAGACAGACGAGAGCTGGGAGCAAAGGAGGGACCTTCTATCGCTCACCCTGGAACTGAGAGGGGAACATTGATGGGATCCAAAGGGAGCCCTGCCCAGAGAAGGGCGTCTCTCCTGTCCTCCTTGCTCAGCTGTGACAAGGAGCCCAAGGCTGGGCTCTCCTGGGCACAGTGAGAGGAGGGAAGAGTTCCTAAGTGATGGGGGCTTTGGGACCTTCCCGGTGGCTTCCCCTCGGGATGGGGCATTCACCGAAGGCCTGCCTGGGTATGAAAGCAGCCCCTGCTCTTTCCCAGAAGCTGGCTGGGGCTGTGTGGAGGGAGGAGGACTGGATGGGAGCAGAATGGATGTCACCTGATCGCTGCTGCTGCGGGAAGGTCACCTTGGAAGCACTGCAGAGGGGGGAGCGGAACAGCATGCAGAGAGAGGGAGGGATGGGAACAAGCTTAACCAGCCCCTGTGAGACGGGCATTCCCAGGGGCCAGGTAAGTGAGGCTTACAACAGTTAGGGGATGAGAGTTTTGAAAGAGCCCAGGGGTGTTAGGAGCACAAGCTCAGCCCAATAGCATTTAGGTGGGACATGTGCGCCTAAGTCACTTAGATGCTTTGGAAAATCCCACGCCACGGGCCCAGTTTTGAAATGTGCGTGCCTGTAATTAGACACCCAAATGACTAGACAGACCCCACGAAGAGTGGTTTGATTCTCAGTGCCATGCAGCTCTGCAGATGCTCGGCCGCTCTGAAAATCAGGTCATTTATGTAGGTGCCTGATTTTTGGCCCCCAAGTCTGAACATGTTGGCCTTGCTGACTTGCCCAAGTCCACATGGGAAGTCAGTGGCAGAGCAGTGAGTAGAAACCAGGAATCCTGACTCTCAGACCTGTGTGCTAACCACTAGACCACATTGTCTCCCCTAGCGATGGGTGAGTAAAGCATAGCAGGGAAAGCCACACGAGATGTTGAGAAGAGAACAGGCCTGATTCTGATCTCGTTTACCCCAGTGTGAATCAGGAGTAACACCCTTGATGTCAGCAGTGTTAGTGTGGGGCAGGTGTGAAAGGCGAGTCAGGCCCATCCAGGAGTCAGATACCTGGGATACCACATCTGCTCTGCACCTCAGAGCCTGGCTAGATATTGAGAGCAGCAGCTGATGGCCAGGATTTGTCTCTCGGCGTTTGTCTCTCCATGTGTTTGTTTTCTTTAGCCTTCATCTTGATTAAATGTCGGCTTGGCAGAATGCCATTTTTATGGTTTTATCATTTCGACGGATAGTGTCGATGTTTATTCTTAAGCATTTTTAAACATTTTTTGATTTGCATTGTTACCGTTGCAGGAAATTATGGATGGGCTGAACAATAGGGGGGGTCAGACAATTCATTACAGTAACACGTCAAAATATCCCAAGTGTAAATGTCCTGTTCGCAGGCAGCATTTTTCTCACTTTGCCAGTCTGTACATTTCTATCAGGATCGACGGGAATATTTTCATTGGTTTGCACATGTACGGTGAAATGGACGGTTTACCGGCATTTACTGCTAAAAATTTCATCATTCCATGCCTAATTAAAGGGTTGCTGATGTTTTGCCTCTGATCTTTTTTCCCCTTTGTCCTTTGGACTCTGACCCCTTCCTACCCCTTGACCGTGTGCAGACAAGCTGTGCTTCAACACGTTCTTCAACTTCGAGGACATGCAGGAGATCACCAAGCACTTTGTGGTGTGTCACGTGGATGCACCAGGGCAGCAGGCCGGAGCGTCGCAGTTCCCACAGGGGTAGGTACCCGAGCCCTGCCCGCCTGTCTGGGATGCTGCTCATGGAGGAGCCCAGCTCTTCATGCTCAGGGTCTCGGTCTGATTTCCCGGCTCCTTTCCCTGGTTCATAAGGTGGGTTCTCCTGCCGGGAACGTCCAGCCTGTACCAGCGGCTAGGAGGCGCTGCAGAGCAACGCACTTGGGACTCTGCCTCCCTCATCCTGGGCCCAGCAGAGCATCCCGTTTCTGAAGGGGAGTCAGGTTCCTCACCCCCTAGAAGGGCCGGGATCATGGGGAAGTCCTCCTCCTCCCAAGCACATCAGCACTGCTCCTAGCGTAGCCATAGGAAGAGGGCTGTGCCAGGCCGAGGGGCTGGAAGGCGGACCGGTGGGTTCCTGGGCATGGCCCACACCCTGGGAGGGGAGGAATAGGAAGGGGATGGCTGTGTCTGTCCCGGAGGGGGGAAGGAAAGGGCTGGGCTGTGCCTTGCTCTGGGAGGGAGGGGCCAGGCAGTGCGGAGTGGGAGGGGAAGAGCTGTCCCTCCCTGGAGAGCTGTGTAGGTGCCCAGAGCCTCTCCCAGCCCTGGCCTGGGCTCTCCTGGCCCCAAGACCTGGGCTCCCCCTGTATGGGCACTTTGGGGCCTTGCCCCAACCCTGCTTTTCTCACTGTGTGTCCGTCATGCCCCCAGGTACCAGTTTCCATCCATGGACCAGTTGGCTGCCATGCTCCCTAGTGTGGTCCAGCATTTCGGGTAAGTGTCAGGGGCCTGTGACCTCGTGGCGTGGGGCCAGCAGGGAGGGGTGGGATGCCAAGAAAAATGCCAGGGGCAGGCAGGGGGCGTAGGGAGGTAGAAACCATAATGTGGCATTTGGGATGCACAAGCGATGCAGGGTTGGGCCTGGCTGAAAAACGGGGATCAAAGCACCCACGCCCGCACTGCACCACTGACCGAAGAACACCAGGTCACTAGGGGTTCCAGGCTTCACAGCCTGTTCCCTGCTCTCCTGCTCTGTCCACTTGGCTGGAGCTGAGAACAGTCAGCGCTTCGGCCATGGCTCGGCGACCCCCTGGTGAGACAGGTCAATCCCCTCCACGCCCTGGGAGAGCCGTGCGGAGTCACCTCAGAGCCAAAAGAGACTCACGCTCTTTGTCCCCTGCTAGTGGTTTGTGCTGTCACCTTCACGGCACGGAATAAGGGAAGCTGCTTCCTCCATTTCAGGGGCCTGGAACAGCACCCCAGGGCCTGTCCCCTCTGGCCCATGGGTCTGAATCCAGCCCAGGTCAGTAGTAAGCAGCTGATCGGTGCCCTGTGGGGAACAAATTGGGAGGTCTCCAGTTCCCACCTCACCAAAGCCACCCTGACGTCTGGCTCTAGCTGGCTTCCTTCAGGGCCCCACTCGTCAGGGAATTGCCAAGGGGACTGAACGCCTGTCTCACCCCGAGGTGAGGGGCACGTTGGCGGAGCAGTGTGTGAGGGGGTTAGCACGGCAGTTGGCCAGGTTCCGTGGGCAGCAGCCTTCTCGCTCCGAGGTGCAGTGCCAGCCCTCAGGCTGGATTTCGCGGCTCAGGACGACGCTGCGGTGACAGTCATAGGATGCTCATATTCCCTACCCGTCTGGCCTTGATTTTACGGGCTCTGTTAGTCAGACGCTGCCATTAAAGCGAGAGAGGGAAGACGGGCGGCAGGTTTATTAACAGACGAGAAGGAATGTCATGTATAGCTGTTTCTGGCGGCTTCTAAGACCCAGAATATGGTGAGCACTATCAGAGGGCTCGCAACCTATTTAAAGGGATGCTACCCAATTCCTATACGCTACGAGGAACTCTGTTTGCACAGGGCTTGAGAGCCAGGAAAAGAGCCCAGGATGTGGAGACCCAGCCAGGGCCCTATGGGTACTGCCTCCTCTTGCCTCAGCCCCATTTCCCTCTCTCTCTGCTGCTCCGGGTGCCTTACCTAGAGGCTCCTTAAAAAGCCAGACTGGCCTAGCAAGGACTATTGGGAGCTGCACAGGGACACTTCTGTCTCTGTTTCTCAGGTTCAAGTACGTGATCGGAATCGGCGTGGGAGCAGGAGCCTATGTCCTGGCCAAGTTTGCTGTAAGTGAGCCCTGGCTGGGAGCGTTCTGCAGTGACCCAGGATCCGATAGAGCAGGGCAGGTGTGACCCACTTCTGAGGGAGGTCACGGGGCAGAGGGAGAGCTGCTCTGTTTGCACCAGCGGGAGCTTTCTCAGGGTATGGGGCTCGTTCCTGAATGGAAGGAGTTGCAGTAATCAAGGAGGTCATCCATGTGTGGATCACTGTAGCCACGGCTGTTTCTGATAGGATGGAACACAACCTCCTGGCCAATCAAAGTGGGTGTATTTTGCCACTGTGGCTATTTGAATATCCAATAGCATTGAGGAGCCCCCAGCAATGCCAGCCCATAGCCTTGGGGTACCAGATTCTCTTAGGAGTGGGGAATCTGAGAGAGGAGACAAGTGCTTCAAAGTGCGTCCCGCATCCAACCAGCATCTCGCCAGAGCTCGGCTTTAGCCAGCTGCTCTTCATCCAGGGGGTGATTTTGGCTGGGCGCTGAGAGAGCTGGAGATGGTGCTGTTCACGTTGGATGTTCGGGAGCCATAGAGCTGGGGATATCTTGTAGGCACTTATGAGTCACACGGACGAGAGGCTGGGGCTGGGTCCTGGAGCTGCCTGCGACAGCCCTCTGGGTTCAGGCCGACAGGAAGGGCCTCTGCCATTTCAGGGCAGTTCCTTCTATCCCTGCAGTTCCTTGGTGTCAAAGAGTGCGGGGAGGTGCAGCAGGCGGAGCGTGGATGCCCTCCCCTTGTCTGGCAGCAGGGGGCTGTTATCTACCAGAGCCATCTCAGTACCATTCCCTGCTCCCAGGCCTTGCAGGGAGGGAGCCTGGCTGCCTTGTTCTAGATTCTCTGTGGGCAGAGGGGCAGAGCCGTGGTGTGCAAAGCCTTTACCTCGTTGGCACTGGTTGGCCTGTTTTGTGTCATAAGGTGGTGGGAGGGTCTGTCCGAGGACGTGGTCTCCCACCCATCCCTTGCCCCCAGAGAAGGGCATCGCTGTCAGTAAAGGATCTCCACACATCTGCTAACTGCCCCCCCTAGCATAGGCCTCTCCCGTCGCACCACGGCCGTGAGCAATAGCTCTGTGTCTGCTTGGCTGCAGCTGATCTTCCCGGATCTGGTGGAAGGGCTCGTCCTGATGAACATCGACCCCAACGGCAAAGGCTGGATTGACTGGGCAGCCACCAAGGTGAGCAGCGTCCACCTCTCAGACGCCAGCTGGGCTGAAATCACTTGGAGCAGGGTCTCCTGGGGCACAGGAGAGCCGGGGCTCGGCTGTAATGAATATAAAGGGAATTCGTTCATGAGGCTGCTGGGGACACATACACCCTGTGGTTCTCTGTGGCTCCCCAGCTTGCAGACTAACCACAGCCCGTGTTGCCTGGTCTCACCACACAGTGTCTTCCTCAGGCACAGCCTTGACTGAGGCCTCCGTGCTCAGGAGAGGAGGGAGCTGGGAGTGGGAAGGAATAACGCGAATCATTGGGTTTAAAATAGTCTCCCGTGGCCGAATCCTGCCTGCAGATCCACCCATGGAGCTGTCCTGGGAGTGTGCAGGGGCCGTGCCTGCTTCCCCTAGTGCAGTGGTCCCCAAACTCTGGGGTGTGCCCCCCTGGGGGGAGTGTGCAGCGGGGCCTGGCCAGCGCCGACTGGGGGCAGGGAGGGAGCCCCACCCAGTTCTGCTCTGGCCCCAGCTCCACTCCGGCCCTGCCCCCAGCCCCAGCTGCAGGTCCGGCCTTGGCCTCAGCCACCAGCTGGTCCCGGCCCCACTCCCAGCCGTAGCTCCCGGCCCCGCTTCTGGCTGCAGCCCCCAGCCCCGATTGCGAGCCTGCTCCCGGACGCGGCCCCTGGCTCCCAGCCCTGACTACTGCCCCACTCCTGGCCGATGCCCCAGCTGCAGCACTGGCCCCACTCCCAACCATAGCCCCTAGCCCCGACTGTGGCTCCCAGGAGGGCATGGACCAGGTAAGGTGGAGGAGGGAGGCACAGACAAAAAGGTTTGGGGACCACTGCCCTAGGGGTTAAAGAAGTCAGCATCCCCAAGGAGATCAGCCCTTGGGGGACATGGACCTGGGTAGTCCAGGGTGCAGAAGCTCCAGGCATGGGCGATCACCTCACCGCAGATACCATCACCTGGCTCTTCCCTGGGCTACAGGATGGTCTCTGACCCTTCCTCTTCACTTGCTGAGCAGCAGATTTTTCTGGGCTCCAGAGCATCCTCTTCCCTTTCTGCTCCGATTGGTCCGAGCCGGAGCAGCTGTTTGCTCTTCCCCGCCGGCTCAACAGGTTCGGGGCTCCAGTGACGCCTACCTGTCTCCAGTGAACATCGCGAGGAGGGGTCCCGTGGCGAAGGTGCAGGGGTGGGAGTGAGCAGTGCCTGGCATCAGCGTAACGCTTCTAGTGTTCTCTGTCCGCAGCTTTCTGGCCTGACCAGCTCTTTGCCTGACACCGTGTTATCTCACCTGTTCAGCCAGGTAAGGGGGAGAGCACTGGACACGTTCACAGCTACCCTGCTCAGATCAGACTCTGGTGGAGAGAGGGCCAGTGCCCAGTCCAGACAGAGAGTCAGCCAGCTAACGGCTGGACTGGATCAGCAACTGAGGCTGCTTTGCTGTCTCCTGGCCATGCTGCTGTGACTTATGGGGGAAGAACAGGCCAAGAGATGCCTCCCTCTCTGGTCCTGTCTGTAGCGGGGCTGTGTCCCTGCCCCTGCCATGGGGGGAGGAGAGCTGCAGGGCTGCCATGAGATGCAGGCCCCCGAAGAGAGCACAGATGTGAGTGCTTTGCCCGCTTGTGCCCAGGATGGATTGGAGGGGCCCATCGACAACTGGATTTGTAGGGCACAACGTGGGGCGTCTCCCCCAGGATGCAGAGCTGGAGGGCCCCACAGCCCATAGGTGATGCATGTTCTGCTCCCTTGGCTGGCACCCCTCTCCCAGACTACAGCCTCTTCAGCACAAACTAGTTACCGGGATGGGTCAGAACCAATCCCCAGGAGCCAGCCCCAACTCTTGGAAAACTGAAGCCAGATCTGACTCCCAGTGTCTCAAGTGGCCTCACCTTTATAGCGGGCTGAACCCCTGTCCTGGACCCAGGCACTGGGCCGTGTTCAGACTCCAGATCCCAGGTCTGCAGCTTCGGTCCGTCTCCTGGCGGCAGCCAGAGGCCAATCTCGGGAGTTAGTTACTAGCACTCCCCTCCCGCAAATACAGCCCTGCAGGGTGTGAATGCTCTGCGGGCTGAGGGCCTAGGACTTAGGGGCCCCCCAACCCCGGTGATCCTGGGGGAAACTGGGTCTTTTTACCCCTGTTGCACTCAGATCAGTCCCCATGTCCCCCCCAGCCTGTCTCTCCTGCATACCACACATGCCGAGCCCTTCCTCCCTGCCGCGGGCCAGCTGATCTCTCGTTTCTCTCGCCCCTCCTGCACAGGAAGAGCTGGTGAGCAACACGGAGCTGGTGCAGAGCTATCGGCAGCAGATTGGGAGTGTGGTGAACCAATACAACTTGCAGCTGTTCTGGAACATGTACAACAGGTAACTGGCCCCCTCACCTCTCCGCAGTGGCACGCGTCTCCTGTCGTGCAGACCAGGCAGAGGGTGAGGACCTCACGGGGTGACCCTATTGTGCCTCGTGGCTAATGGCCACTGTTAGCTGGGGCCTGGGTGGGGCAGGGCGATGGGCACCAGGGCGGGAATGGGAGGGTGGCAGCTTTTGGAGATGGCAGGCAATAGAGCTGAGGATTCCACTGGTGCCACGAAGAGCCCAAGACCATCGTGTGCAGCTCATTGGTCGAGGAGCACGAGACCCCATGAGGGTAGCCATAGAGCCCTGCTGCTTCCTGGCCCCCTAGGGACGAGGTGCAGGAGGCCACGCTCTGAGAGCCAGGGTGGTACATGGCGTGTTGCCCCCAGCCAGATACGCAGAGCAGGATTCGCACCCAGCACCCTCCCAGACCCAGGCTTTGGTGAACAGCAGCCAGAGGCATGGGAAATAGCCCCCAGCATGTCTGGCCTTTCTAGCTTGGCCACCACCCACTCCCAACGGGACCATGGCCGGAGTGGGGCTGTTTGCCTGCGAGAGGCAGGTCCTGAGCTGGGCACCCCCATTGCTTAGGGGCTCTGGGGGCGGTAATCAAATTGCAGCTGGGTCGAGCATCACCGAAAACCCAGCTAAAGGGAACAAATGGCAAACCTGGTGCCCAAGGTCCTGGGGGGAGGTTGTCACTGCGCTCGTGTGCTCTGGGCAGTGGGACACACAGATAGGCCATGCTCCCAGCAGGGGAGTAGCCCTGCTCTGGGCAAGTGGGATGGCAGGGGCATGGGCCAGCCCCATTCTGGGTAGGGGAGCAATGGGCACATGGCTAGGCCCCACTCTGGCAGGGGAGTGGTGCGGTGTGCTGGCTGGCCCCACTCTGGGCAGGGGGGAGTTGCAACATCTGGATAAGCCATGCTCCAGGCAGGGGGGTGGTGAGAGGCATGCGTACCAGGCCTGCTTCGAGCTAGGGCGTGGTGGGGGCATGTAGGCTGGCCCCTCTCTGGGCAGTGGGACATATGGGTAGGGTGTAAACAAGGGTGATGTTATGGCTGGACTCTATGATAGACCATCTTACCAGGAAGAAGAGGTGGATGAGGCTTTTTTTAAACATCCAAAGCACATGACTTGGTGGTGATGGGAGACTTCAACTACCCAGACATCTGTTGGGGAAAATAACACAGCAGGGCACAGATTATCCAACATGTTCTAGGAATGCACCGGAGACCATTTTTTATTTCAGAAGGTGAAGAAAGCCATCAGGGGAGAGGCTGATCTAGATTTGATTTTTGCCAAATAGGGAGGAACTGGTTGAGAATGTGAAAGTGGAGGCAGTGTGGGTGAAAATGATGGTGAAATGGTAGAGTGCATGATTCTAAGGAATGGTAGGAGGGAAAACAGCACAATAAAGATAATGGATTTCAAGAAGGCAGACTTTAGCAAACTCAGGGATCTGAGCCATGGGAAGCAAGTCTAAAGGGAAAATCAATTATTGGCAGTTTTTCAAAGAGACATAATTAAGGGCACAAGAGCAAATTATCCCCCTGCGTAGGAAAGATAGGAAGTACGGCAAGAGACCAGGCTGGCTTAACCAGGAGCTCTTCAATGATCTGAAACTCAAAAAAGAGTCCTACAAAAAGTGGAAACTTAGTCAAATGATGAAGGATGAATATAACCAAATAACACAAGTATGTAGGGACAAAATTAGAAAGGCCAACGCACAAAACGAGATTAAACTAGCTAGAGACCTAAACGGTAACAAGAAAACATTCTACAACTACATTAGCAGCAAGAGGAAGACCAAGGACAGGGTAGGCCCATTACTCAATGAGGAGGGGGGAGGAACAATAACAGAAAATGTGGAAATGACGAAAGTGCTAAATGCCATTTTTGTTTCAGTTTTCACCAAGAAGGTTAGTAGCGAATGGACGTCTCACATAGTGAACGCTAGTGAAAGCGAAGTAGAATCTGAGGCTAAAATAGGCAAAGAACAAGTTAAAAATTATTTAGACAAGTTAGATGTCTTCAAGTCACCAGGGCCTGATTAAATACATCCCAGAATACTCCAGAAGCTGACTGAAGCGATATCTGAGCCATTAGTGATTATCTCCAAAAACTCCTGGAAGACAGGAGAGTTTCCAGAGGAGTAGAAGAGGGCAAATCTAGTGCCCATCTATAAAAAGGGGAATAAGGACAACCCGGGGAATTACAGGCCAGTCAGCTTAACTTCAGTACCCAGAAAGATAATGGGACAAATAATCCAGCAATCAATTTGCAAACACCTAGAAGGTGATAAATTACATTCAGCATGGAATTCTCAAGACCAAATCATGTCAAATCAACCTGAATGCTGTTTTTGACAGGGTAACAAGCCTTGTGGATGGAGGGAAGCGGTAGATGTGGTATATCTTGACGTTAGTAAGGCTTTTGATACTGTCTCGCATGACCTCATAAACAAACTAGGGAAATGCAACCTAGATGCAGCTACGATAAGGTGGATGCAGAACTGGTTGGAAAACTGTTCCCAGAGAGTAGTTATCAGTGGTTCACAGTCATGTTGGAAGGGCATAACGAGTGGGGTCCCACAGGGATCAGTTCTGGGTCAGGTTCTGTTCAATATCTTCATGGCATTGAGAGAACACTTATAAAGTTTGTGGACAATACCAAGATGGGAGCTTGCAGGTGCTTTGGAAGATAGGATTAAAATTCAAAACGATCTGGAGAAACTGGAGAAAGAGTCTGAAGTAAATAGGATTAAATTCAATAAGGACAAATGCAAAGTCCTCCACTTAGGAAGAAACAATCAGTTGCACACATTCAAAATGGGAAATGACTGCCTAGAAGGGAGTACTGCAGAAAGGGATCTGGGGGTTATAGTGGATCACAAGCTAAATATGAGTCAACAGTGTAACACTGTTGCAAAAAAAGCGAACATCATTCTGGGATGTATTAGTAGGAGCACTGTAAGCAAGACGCGAGAAGTAATTCTTCCGCTCTACACCGCGCTGATAAGGCCTCAGCTGGAGTATTGTGTCCAGTTCAGGATGCCACATTTCAGGAAAGATGTGGACAAATTGGAGCAAGTCCAGAGAAGAGCAACAAAAATGATTAAAGGTCTAGAAAACATGACCTATGAGGGAAGGTTGAAAGAATTGGGTCTGGAGAAGGGAAGACTGAGAGGGGACACGATAAAGTACATAAAAGGTTGTTACAAGGAGGGAGAAAAATTGTTCTCTCTAACCTCTGAGGATGGGACAAGAAGCAACGGGGTTAAATTGCAGCAAGGGAGGTTTAGGTTGGACATTAGGAAAAACTTCCTCACTGTCAGGGTGGTGAAGCACTGGGATAAATTGCCTAGGGAGGCTGTGGAATCTCCATCATTGGAGGTTTTTAAGAACAGGTTGGACAAACACCTGTCAGGGATGGTCTAGTTATTATGTCGTCCTGCGTTCAGTGCAGGGGACTGGACTAGATGCCCTGTTAAAGTCTCTTTCAGGCCCACCCTTCTGTGATTCTATGCTCTGGGCTGGGGAATGGTTGGGCATGTGAGCCAGCCCTGCTTTGGGCAGGGGGTGGTGGGCCAAACCGGTCAGCCCCATTCTGGGCAGCAGGTGTCAGGCAAGTGGTTTGGCCCTGCCGCAGGCCTGGGGCCATGTGGGGTACGCATGGTTGCAATGGCAGGAGGAAGACGGCCAAGAGTCTCGTTAACCCCTCTGACCTTGGGAACTCAGCGCTTGTGCCAAGACTTTGCCATTGTGGTATGTGCTGGGGTTCGGAGACGATCACTCCACGTTTCCATGAGTTGGGCTGGGTTCTGCTGCCCTCTTGTGTCCGGACGGAGAGGCGCTTTCAGGCCGGGGAAGCTGCTGGCATGCTTTGTCTATGAGTATTCTGGGAGCTCTGCCATTTTGCTCTGGGGCATTAACCTCTGGCCCCCCTCTCTCCCCCTCAGCCGCAGAGACCTGGACATTAACCGGCCCGGGACTGTCCCCAATGCGAAAACACTTCGGTAAGTCGCACGCTGGTCCCAGTGGGGCTGAATTGCAACCGGGTGTTAAAGACCAAGCCTCTGACCACTCTCCTCCTCTTGGTGTTTCCAGCTGCCCCGTCATGCTGGTGGTGGGGGACAACGCGCCTGCCGAAGATGGGGTGGTGAGTAAAGGGTTAAACCCCATGCTGCCTGCTAGGAGGGTCACCGGATGCCCAGACACAGACAAGAGACACCCCTCCCCAGCCTGCCACCAGCACACCTTCTCCTCCTGGCAGGAGCGGGCATTCCTAGGGCGCTGTCGTGTCCTGCCCAGACCCTCGGCATCCTGTGCCACTTTCAGGCTGTTCCAATACACCAGCCTTCACGCTAGGGAGATTTAAACTGGCTCCCCAGACTAAGGCAGGACTCCAGATTCTCTCCCCCTGCTGCACCCCCGCTCTCTCTTCTCCACTGAGCGGTTTCTCATTCCCTCGCTCCCTGAGAGTCGGTTTCTTCTCGAGCGGGTTGAAAAACAAAATTTGTCGATGTTTTGATTTTCTTTTTCCTTTGTTGTACGTCCCTTTCTTCTCCCTCTCTCTCAGCATCTCTCTCTCCTCCCTGCTCTCCCGGTTTTTTGCAGAATGAATTCCTGTTTTCCACAGGGTTTCCCCCTTGCATGCCCCCATCCCTGCCACTTTCCCTTCTCCGCCCCCTGCTCTCTCCCCGTTGCAGGCAGACACAGAGTAAGTCAGTCTTTCCCTACGGACACTGGGGGGCCGTTGCCCCACCTTGCAGGACACTTTCTGCAGGCAGGGCTGCTCTCTCCAAGTCACAGCCTCTGCCTGCATCCCAGATTCACCCCAAGCCGAGCCCCGCCTGGCATGGATGCTGCAGCCACAGGGCGTTGTGTCTCGGAGAACCCAACTGCAAAGGCCAATGGAGGAATCCCTCAGCTACTTTCTGGCTCTCTCTGCCTTGCTTTCTTGCCCCAGGAAGGAGAATTAGCTCTGGGCGCACGGAGAGCGAGGCCAGTCTGGGACAGAGTCAGAGGGTGGGGCAGCCTTCGATTCATAGATTCCAAGGCCAGAGACTTTCCCCAACCTAATTCCCAGAGCAGATCTTTTAGAAAACCAGACAGTCTTGATTTAAAGTTGCCAGTGCTGGAGAATCCATCACGACCCCTGGTAAATAGCTCCAGTGGTTAAAAACGTTTGCCGTGGAGGTGTGGCGGGAATCCCCAGCGCTCTGCTCTCTGACCTTCCTCAGCTCTGCTCTTCTCCTTGACAGGTGGAGTGTAACTCCAAGCTGGATCCAATCAACACCACATTCTTGAAGGTAATCTGGGTCCGTCAGCTGTCTGCCCACTGGGGGGGGGGGGGGGGCTGGCCATCAGCCGGGGATGAGAGTGGTGCAGACTTCTCCCTCTGATTTCTGCCAGCGCCTCTTGGCCTGCCTTGCTATTCCTCTCCCGAAACCCCCCCCAGCTCTGCCAACGCCCCTCAGTCCCGCCCTGGAGTCCCCTGCTACACCAGCCTGCCCCCCTCAGCTCTTCCAACGCCCCTCAGTCCCGCCCTACAGTCCCCCTGCTACACCAGCCCTGCACCCCCCCCCACAGCTCCGTTCAAACCCCTGGAGTCCCCTGCTACACCAGCCCTGCCCCCCCTCCAGCTCTGCCAACGCCCCTCAGTCTCGCCCTACAGCTCCCCCTCCCCCCCTTATGCCAAATCTCTCCTGCCCGCCCCTCCCCCAACAGCTCTGCTAGCTGGACTCAGGGATCAGGACTTGCTAGCTGTCCCTCCATGGACACGGCTGACCTCTCGCAGGAGTGGTCTGCAGTAAATGGCCCCGCCGTGTCCCTGCGGCCTGTCCCCCGCACACAGATGACTGGGGTGTTCTAGCAGGGAAAGGGCTCTTTGGGCACCTTGTCCATCCCCCCGCCACTCCTGAGCACCCATGCCCACCTCGCTGGGTGCCCCCTGCGCAGCCAGGTTGGAAGAGGGTCCCTGCAGACTGCCCCGGCAGCCACCGAAATGTCCATGCAGCGGGTGGGTTGGGGGTGGGGGGCTGGACTCTGAGTCCGGGTGCCGGTAGAGGTGTCCCTGGGGCCCTCCGCTAACAGAGTTCTGTTTTCCCCTCCAGATGGCCGACTCTGGGGGGCTCCCACAAGTCACACAGGTGAGTCCTCCAGCCCCCCGCCCCCGCTCTTTCTCTTCCCTCCCCCCACCCCGGTCCTCAGCCCCACACCACCCTGGCTGTGTGCCGCTCCTGGAGCAGCAGGCAGAGGTGTCTGTGTGTGTGTGTGTGGGGCTGGAGGGGGCGGTGGGATCCCTGCCCAAGGGGCTCAGTGAGCTGCCCCCGCTGCTCTGCTGCCATGGGGTGGCCCCTGGCCCTGTCTAATAGTGGGGGAGGGGCATGTGCAGAGTCCACCTGGCTGGCCAGAGACAAAGCTAAGCCCGGCCTGGGGGGCGGGGGCATCCCTGCTGCCCAGGAGAGGGGGAAATCCACCCCCAGCCTCCTCGTGGCCTGGGAAGGGGGGTTACCGGGGAGGGGCTGCCGGGGATGGGGTCTCTTGGACTGGGTTTGGTGAGGGAGGGCTTCAGTCTGTGTCTCCGCAGCAGCCAGCGTCTCCTCCTGCCCTTTCAGCCTTGTTTTTCTTCTCTTCCCCTCCAACAGCCCGGAAAACTGACCGAAGCCTTTAAGTACTTCCTGCAAGGGATGGGTTACAGTAAGTGCAGGTGCCAGGTGTGTGTGGGTGTGAGTGTGGATATGCCTGGGGGGGACGGGTGTGCGCAGGGTGGTGGGAATGTGCCCTACACATGGGCCTGTGTGTAAACGTTTGTGCATGCCAGTGTGTGCAGTTGTCTTTCCCACTGCACTGTGTGTGTAAGGGCACAGGTGGGTGGATGGGCACATGCTTACAGGAGCATGGGGGAGGGGGGTACCCATCTGTGTGTGTGTGTGTGACACTCAGCCTGGCACGGTGCGGTGCCCGGAGCCCCCAGCACGCCAGTGCTCTGCCCCCACGGCGCTGTGCTGACAGCACGGCTGTTCGATTAAGTTGCCCCCTGTCCTGCCTGCGTAGAGTCACCGCCCGTTGTGTGAGCGTGTGCCCTGGGCCAGAATCCCCTGCTAGGCTCCTGGGCCGAGGGAACCCAGGAGGGGGGAGAACCGAGCTGGTTTTCGGCACTCAGGGGGTGCGTATGAAAAGCACAGATCAGTGAGACAACATGGCTGCCTCCCCATGGGCTCTCTGGGCACCGCGCTCAGTCCCTGCTCTTTGCAGATTAATTAGCGTTGCTCTGCTCTCCGGGGACAGGGGCGGCAGGTAGTCCCTTGGAGGGAGGCAGGAGGGCAGAGAGCCCTTAAAAAGCCAGTCCCAGCCCAAGGGGCCTGGTCTCCCTGGGTGCTGAGCTCTCACTGACTGCTGGGAGCTGCGGGCACCTCAGGATCAGGCCCCACAGCAAAGGGCATCAGAACTTCCTTGCGAAGCAGCGTAGGTAGCGAGGGAATGCGGAGAGGGGGCTGTCCCAGGCCCAGCACTACCCTGCCTGCCTCCCAGCAGCCCCCTTGCCACCAACACAGCTGCCACCTTCGAGCAGGACAAAGGGGCCTGTACACAGGACCCGGCCTGGCACTGGGGAGTGTCAGAGCCAGCTCTGATTCCACAATGGGGGAATGGAGGAGGATGGGACTGAGCTGAGATTCCCCTGACCCCTCTGCTCTCTCAGGCCTTGGCCGCTCTGGGGTCTCCGGGGGGTGGCCAGGATCCAGCATCGCTTCATTCTGGCTGCCCCTAGCGGAGACCCGTGCGGTCCCTTGGATGGTTCTGGGAGACAGGCAGAGACGTGGGGGTGAGCGTTGTCCAGTCAGATTGCGACTTTCCTTGCCTTGTGCACATCCCTGGGCTAGCCCCCAGGAGAGAGCGAGCGTGTGTGAGTATAGATAGAGGGGGTAGTTGAGGGGGGTGTATAGATGGGGGATGGGTGTGTATGTGGGTGTGGGTGTAGACGGTGTGTGGGTGTAGACGGGGTGTGTGTGGGGGTGTAGACAGGGGGTCTGGGGGTGTAGACAGGGTGTGCGTGTCTGTGAAGATGGGGTGGGGTGGGGGGGCGTTGTAGACGGTGTGTGGGTGTCTGTGTAGACGGGGTGTGTGGATGTGTAGAGATGGGGTGTGTCTGTGTGTGTGTGTGTGTGTGTGTAGATGGGGTGTGGGTGAGTGTAGATGGGGGTGTGGTGTGTGTGTGTGTGCGTAGAGATAGGGTGGGTATGTGCATGTGTGTGTAGATGGGGTGTGTGGATGCGTAGAGATGGTATGTGTGTGTGTGTGTGTGTGTGTGTGTGTGTGTAGACGGGGTGTGTGCGTGTGTATGTGTGTGTGCGTAATCCTTCCTGCCATCTGTCTCTCTCCCTCCCGCTCTCTCCGTGTTGTGGTTGCCGTCCCAGTTGTTTGGTTTTGGGGCAGATCGAATGCTGACGCTCTCTTTCTCTCCCAACGTTTCTTGTCTCCCCCTACCCCCCCGCTCTCTGTCTCTCCCTTAGTTGCGTACTTGAAGGATCGGAGGCTGAGTGGAGGAGCAGGTACCCCTGTCACTGCTGCTCACCCTCCTCCCCATCCTCTGCATGCACCCCCGTCCCCCAACTCCATGTGCATCGCTGCAGGGGAGGGGGGGCTGTGCTCCCGTGCCCACCCCCAGCCGCCCTCCAGTCCCACCCTCTCCAGGAGAGGAGCGGTGGCAGAAAGAGCTGCAGAGGCTTCCCAGAGTGGAAAAGTCTCAGGCAAGCGGTGGAAGAGGCCAAGCCAGGGATGGGGACGGGACTAGGCGGTGGGGGCGGGGGAGTAGCTGCTGGGGGAGGCAGGCAGGGTGGGGAGCACCCTCCCTGCTTGGAATCCGAGCCCTTGGGCTCTCTCCCCGCAGCTGGGAATAGGCATTAAGGGGCACCTGTTCATGGCAGCATCCTCCACTCCTGCTGCTGGCCGTGGCTGGTGCCGCTGGGTGCTCCGTTCGCCGGGGCTAGCGGCCAGCTGTGGATTTTGCTTGTGCGTGTTGATAGTAAGGGTGGGAGCCCGGCTGGGAAGCTCAGGGCTGCTCCATGTTTCCCCGGCTGGGTCCAGGCTGCTGCCCCCACCTAGATTGGAGAAGCAGCCTGGCAGGTGGGCTGGCTCGAGGGGTCCCAGGGCTACTGCCCCTCGCTTCCAAGAGCCCCTCGCTTGCCTGCCTGACACCCGCCCTGAGCTGCTTGCAAAGGCTGGAGAGGTGTTAGTGGGGAGGGGAGGGGATGATTCCTGTGGCCTGGGACCATTCCGGTGCCACTTCTCCATCCCCTCCCAGGGTGGCAGGAGAAGGCTGCTTAACCTGGGACCCCAAACCAGGGAGGAGACCCCTCGGCTGCTCTAAAGGCCAGGACTGGAGCAGTGAATCAGTTCTCTGACGATCTCCTCCCCTGGCTCTGCTGCACTGAATTGGGTCCTTTGCCTCCTGGCTGCTCTGCGGCCCAGGACGCCGGCTCAGCTGCAGCAGGGGGTCCTGGCGAACATGCCTCCTATTTCAGGGAAGATTTAGGGATGTCCTGTCCTGGTAAAGTGCATTCAGAGCCCACCTGATGGTGCGCTAGGGACTATGGAAACACCACCATGAGAATAATTAGCTGCTTTTCTTGGCCGCACATGTAGGGTCTTTCCAAACCTGATGCAGATGGGAATCTCAGAACAGCATCACGGCATAAGAGTGTCTGCCAGATGTTGGGGGAGTGGTGGGCTTACAGCTTTCCCCCGTGGGGTTGGGACTCTGAAATCCAGCAGTGGGCTAGTGCATGAGAGCCAGAGAGAGACCAGCCTGCTTTCAGGGCCCCCCGGATGTAGACAAATGGCACAGGTGGGCTAATGTGGCTTCCATCCCACTTTGGCTCTTACTCCCACATCCATTGGGAATAAGCCGCATTCACAAAATGTAGCTGCACTGGTTCATTGCTGCGGGGGTGTCTCCTTCCTGACATCTGCTCTGGGGGGAGTTCTAGTAGCAGTGGGGGGGGTCCCAGTCTGACAGGATGGGGACAGGAAGGATCCCATTTCCCATGTCCATTTAGCACTGAACAGTCTCCCCTATTATACCCTCTGTAGGGTCACTGTTCCCTTCCCGCAGTGCCAGGCAGAACCCCCAGGGTCCCCATTGTGGATAATACGCCCTATAGGGCAAAATGGCACCGCACAGTGATTGAAAAGCTGGGTGGAGCAGTGCAGAAGGCTGAGACCTCTTGCCCCTGCATTTAAGGCACAAGACAAGTCACCACCCCTTGTGCGTTGCACTAGGAGGGGTACGTTTCACCGAAGCCCCGATCATGGTGAGTGCACGGTGGCATGCCGGCATTCTTGTGCGTGGGGATTTTCACGGCCATATCAGAGGCTCTGCACACAGACCAGCTAGCGAACCAGTTGGGTGTTAAGGCCCAGAGCCTCAGTCTTTAGGACACCCGACTGCCCAAAGGGGCAAAATATCACGTGTTAAAACCTCTCGTGCAAACTCCTACCGGGAATTGGAGGCTGGGCTGCAGCCCCTCTAATAGTCTGTTCCCACACAGTCCAGAGTGCTCAACTCCAAAGGTATCTGGGCTTAGCAGCAGGAGTCGTCTCCCCCCACCCCCCCATCCCAGTGACAGATGGATTCATGGACCCCCACTGCCCTCCATCACAGGCCAGTAGCAGCTCGTCTCTTGTAACACCGCATGCTTCAAGCTTGAGCAGTTGGAAGCTGGCATCTCAGTATGCAGAGGCTGAGAGAATGGCGCTTCACTCGGCGGGCTGGAGAGCCCGTCACTTCACCAGTGTCGGCTTTGCTTGTGTGTCGTGTCTGCTCGAGTCCTCCTTGCAGGCCCCGGGTGAAATCCCTAACCAACTTTTTCTCCCTCTATCCCCATCCGCCCTCTCTTCCCCTCCCTCCCCCCAGTGCCCTCGGCCAGCATGACCCGGCTGGCCCGCTCCCGCACTGCCTCCCTCACCAGCGCCAGCTCGGTGGATGGCAACCACCCCCGGGCCTGCACCCACTCGGAAAGCAGCGAGGCCATGGGGCAGATCAACCACACCATGGAGGTATCGTGCTGAGGTCTTTGGTCCCTCCGCTGTCTCCTCTTCCTCCTCTTCCTCCTCCGCCGGAGACATTTAGCATCGTTCTGCATCAAGCCACCATCCAAACGGCCATCCTGTTCGGCTTCCAACAGTTACCGTGTCGGGGGTTCATTTTCTTTCTCGTCGGGTTTTTTTTTCCTTTTTCCTTTTAATATTACATAAAAAAGGGGAGATGGGAAGCACCACTGTAAGACCGACGGTTCAGTCCACCTCTAGCTATAGCTGCAACTTTGAATTAGTGACGTTATCCTGTTGTCAGTCAAGCAGTAACAAATCTCTCCAGTGGTCAGGTCCGTAGGGTTCTTCGGCCCCGCCACTTACGTAGCGTTAGCCGAAGGCTCAGGTTCCTAAGGTCACCAGGGGGAAGTGTCCGCGAATTGGCCAGCGGCAGGAAAGCTCAAGCAAGCACGTAATCCCGTATGGGTCCATAGTCACCAAAAGGCTCATCACAATTCTTTCACCTGAGGTGGGGTGTTCATAACAATCGGGGTTGGTTTGTTTAAATAAACTGCTAAGAGTTCAATGTAGCATGGCCCCCCTTCCAGTGATCGCCACCGTCTTTTTTTTTTTTTTCTCCGATTGACCTGCCCCCAGGAGAATTGAACCTAGGATCCCAAGAGCCAAAAGCATGAATCCCTACCACTTAAGCTAAAAAGCCCACCTCAGTTAGCCATAGTACACTCCTAAACGGCTATAAATGGTTCGGCCACTAGAGGGGGACAAAGCCCCACACAGCGTTTACATGGGTTAAACACTCCATGTTGTTGAGTGTCACTGGTAGCGGTACCCAGGGTGGGGTCCATGCATCATTGGGTTAATGTGGGAGATGGGGAGGAAGAAACAAAAAGGGCTTGAGAAATCCGGGTTTTAAAATGTCGCTGCCCACTGGGATTTAATCCTGGTCATGCTGAAAACTAAGCATTTGCCTAGCCATGGAAAGAGCAATACGGAAGGTAGCTGCTCTGCAGAATGGCTCCCTGGGGCCTTCCTTCCTTGCCCTCTGGCCTGTCCATCCAAAACAGGAAGTAGAATTGTTTTAAGGCAGGAAGTGACATGTCATGAGGACTGGGCATTAGCCCCTCCCCTACAAGACACCAACACCCAAATGCTGCCGGGGTGAGATCTGTAAAAACATATAATAAAAATAACAATGCCCCAAGAAATACCTACACTCAGTGAAACCTGGCGATCTCTGCCCTTTCTGGTGCCGATAAAGCGCCCAACTCACAGGATCTTAAATTTGCCCCGGGCGCATTTCGAACCAATGAATAGTCGCGCGTGAGCCAGTGCTATAAACTAAGCTCCCAGGTGCTCCGTGGCAGTACGGAGCCCAGGGGTGCCCGTGCGTGCGTTTGTGACTCGTGCACACACACGTCCCCTGTACAATTCTTTTTTGCAAGAAGGACAATCAACGACAGTAACCAAAACCATACTAAACTCCTCGGCAGTCTCTGCGCCTCCCCCTCCCTCCCATACCGAGCCAAGGTTCACAAGGGAAAAGCTCCTTCCCGGCGCCCAGCAGTGCTGCCCGGAGCAGGATGTTGGGGCAGGGGCGGGTGGTGGTGATTTCCAGGACAGGGCTGCTGCCTCTGCAGGTTCTTTCTCCCTCCCTTAACGTGAGCTCTGTTTCTGCTCTCCAGAAAGGCTGTTAGAAGCAAACGCTCCAGGAACCTATAGGAAAGGTCCAGAGGCTGACGGGGCAGCTGCTCTTGTTCTGTTGCTGCTTTGTGCTCTGTTGGTGGACGATTGTCGTATTTACAGGCCATGTGCTGGGGCTAGCCCGCCCAAGGGACAAAAGCAGGGCTTAATTTGTGCCAGAGCTCGCCAGGGCTGATTCCCGGCACCTCTAGGCTTGGCAGTTCAGAGCCCTGGCACTTCTGGGCTTGCCACGTCCGTTATGAAAGTAAAAACATTGCTTGAGCCCTGGTACCTCTTTCATCACAAATTAAGCACTGGACAAAAGCCTCTTCCAGGTGGTTTGTACAGCACCTACCACAACCGGGCTAAGTTCTAGCGAATGGGTGAGGCCTCTTTACGTGATTGGGCCATGCCTTCGTTGGGTGTTGTGTGCATACCACAAGCGGGCGGCCTGGACTCCAGAAATGCGTCTCTCCCACTGACTGTGTGTCCTTTACTAGCTGAATGAAGTCAGTAATTTGTCCCAGCTTGTTCTGTTTACTGTTAGTCTAGGTGAGTTGGGCTTTGAACTTGGCATCCTATGCCCACTGCTAGGCAGGCGTGAGGCCTGGTTTCTTGGCTTTGTGCCAGTGTTGCTGTGGTTGGCACAGTGGACTCAGGGCAAGTGGGTACCAGCTTTCCCGGGGATATGTGAGTCTGCATCAGTCAGTGTTTTGCTCCCCAGATTCTGGTGGGAAACCCCCAGAGCCAACACCTCTCCCCACACGCCCCATTCTCATTGTGTTGGACTCATTTGTCGCTTGGCGTTCCATGCTGAGCGGCTGTCCAGGGCTTGGTTCTTCCTCAGTGTTGTGGCTGGATCCATTCCGAGTTGGTGAGGTTCCTGCTTGTCTGTGATCCGTCCCGAGGAGCTGGGGCTCAGAGTGGTTTGGATCTGGTGCACAGGATGTGAATGCAAATTGCATTGTAACAAATCCATGTCTCTGTGCTGTATGGCTGCTCAGAATGTCCTGGCAACAGCGGGGAACTGAACACAGATCCTGTTGTTCCAAAAGCCCAGCCCTACCCACTCGAGCTAAAGGAGAATCTGTGAGCTGTTAGCAGTACAGGGCCCATGACATGCAGCTGAGCATTTTTGATTCCATCCGGTAAATGGCTTGTTAGCCAGTTTGTTCCAGGGTTTACTAATTGGTGTGTTGGGAGTGGCAATTTCCCTAGTCTCACCCGTCAATGGGATCCCCTTGGTTGTCAGCGCCTTGTATGTAGAGGGTGAGGAGTGCTTGGGAGAGTGTCTGGGGTAAGGGGAGCTACGTTATCATGTACTTTGTATGTAAGGGCTGCCTAAACTTCATATTAGCCCCGCAGGGTCACCTGGCTGTGGGGATCTGTCCCCAAAACACCATCCCAGCATCATCTGGGTACAGCCCGCGTGCAGTCCCTCTGCATGGCTCTAGAACAGTTCCTTTTGCACCAGCCTTGGGGCGCAGGGAGAGAAACAAGAGCTGACATGTATGCAAGACATTCCCGGGATCAGCCACTGTCTCCTTCCACCATGTCCCAGGCAAAAGTGAGTCGCCAAGGGAGGCCACAAACCAGTGGGCCGGGCGTGAGCCACGCCCGCATGGGAGTGCCATATTTTTTATGTCAGGATGAGAACCCTTCCCTTCCTGTTGCATTGCCCCTGGGCCAGAGGAGGGGGGAAATGGACCATAAGATGAAGTCCAAGGGACTACAGAAGCCCATGAGGAACACATCCAGTGGCATTCTGTGCCATTTCAGCCAGTGAATGCCAGCTCACTGCACTGGAAGGCTGCAGAGCCAGTTAATGAGGTACTGAGCATGCACCATCTCAGATGCTGGGTCTCTAGTCCCTTTGACACACCCAACTTCCATTCTGGTCCTTTGTGACCACACAGCCCCTACAGGGCGCCGCAGCTGCCTGGCTTGCCACACTAGGAGCTGGAGGGAACAGATCCAAAGCTGATCAGACTAGCAGCAAGAAGAAATTCTATTAGAGATAAAAAGAGAGACAGCATTCAACATCCCATGGTGTTCCAGACACACTGTCTCTTTCACGCATCTGCTATCTAGGAGAGTGTGCGTCTCTGGATAAATACAGAACACACACGCCACACCCACACACATAGTGCATTTAAATGGTATGACATCACCACAAGCATTCTAGAAACTCTCTGTTGTGTATTAGTTTGTTCCAGACTCTGTTTTTCCGTGTGCTTCCTTCTGAACATTAAATGTGAATGTTTGAAAGCTAGTAGGAATTCTTTTTACTGTAGATACTGCTGCAATTTTTGTTTTTTGTTTTTTAGTGTGTCCTTTCAGATAATATATATATAAATACCTATACATAATATATATATTGGATTTTTTCCCCCCTTTCTTTCGTTCTTGTAGCAACTGGTAACAAATGTGTGGTTTTAACATTTAAGGTGTTCTGGCTGTAATTTTGTTCTGGGTTTGTTTTTGAGTTTTTTCTTTTTTCCTGGTTAAGGTGGAATTTACTGAATTTCAGACTTCTGTATGAGGTGAATCCTTATATTTTTGTGCATTAAGATGGTTGATGCTCAGAAAGTTGCATTGATGCCATGGTATTTACAGACGACTACAAAAATGTAAAATGGAAGGAAAATGGTTGATGTAGAAAGGATTACTGTGTCGAAAACTAATAAAGACATTAAGAAGAACCTAGCTCTCCTGCTTTTGTATTTATCAGTGTTATGTGTATTTTTGTGTGTGTGGCGGGTGGGGGGTACTAACCTTCTCCCAGGGACCAAAATGCGAGGTGGAGGGGGGTGATTACTGCAGGGCAGGTAAACAACTCTGGAGAAGAATCTAGACTGGTCAGACTGGGTTTTATTCATAGATTCATACATTCTAGGACTGGAAGGGACCTCGAGAGGTCATTGAGTCCAGTCCCCTGCCCTCATGGCAGGACCAAATACTGTCTATTCTAGACCATCCCTGATAGACATTTATCTAACCTACTCTTAAATATCTCCAGAGATGGAGATTCCACAACCTCCCTAGGCAATTTATTCCAGTGTTTAACCACCCTGACAGTTAGGAACTTTTTCCTAATGTCCAACCTAAACCTCCCTTGCTGCAGTTTAAGCCCATTGCTTCTTGTTCTATCCTCAGAGGCTAAGGTGAACAAGTTTTCTCCCTCCTCCTTATGACACCCTTTTAGATACCTGAAAACTGCTATCATGTCCCCTCTCAGTCTTCTCTTTTCCAAACTAAACAAACCCAATTCTTTCAGCCTTCCTTCATAGGTCATGTTCTCAAGACCTTTAATCATTCTTGTTGCTCTTCTCTGGACCCTCTCCAATTTCTCCACATCTTTCTTGAAATGCGGTGCCCAGAACTGGACACAATACTCCAGCTGAGGCCTAACCAGCGCAGAGTAGAGCGGAAGTATGACTTCTCGTGTTTTGCTCACAACACACCTGTTAATACATCCCAGAATCACGTTTGCTTTTTTTGCAACAGCATCACACTGTTGACTCATATTTAGCTTGTGATCCAGTATAACCCCTAGATCCCTTTCTGCTGTACTCCTTCCTAGACAGTCTCTTCCCATTCTGTATGTGTGAAACTGATTTTTTCTTCCTAAGTGGAGCACTTTGCATTTGTCTTTGTTAAACTTCATCCTGTTTACCTCAGACCATTTCTCCAATTTGTCCAGATCATTTTGATGTCCTGTCCTGTCCTCCAAAGCAGTTGCAATCCCGCCCAGTTTGGTATCATCTGCAAACTTAATAAGCGTACTTTCTATGCCAATATCTAAGTCGTTGATGAAGATATTGAACAGAGCCGGTCCCAAAACAGACCCCTGTGGAACCCCACTTGTTATGCCTTTCCAGCAGGATTGGGAACCATTAATAACAACTCTCTGAGTACGGTTATCCAGCCAGTTATGCACCCACCTTATAATAGCCCCATCTAAATTGTATTTGCCTAGTTTATTGATAAGAATATCATGCGAGACCGTATCAAATGCCTTACTAAAGTCTAGGTATACCACATCCACAGCTTCTCCCTTATCCACAAGACTCGTTATCCTATCAAAGAAAGCGATCAGATTGGTTTGACATGATTTGTTCTTTACAAATCCATGCTGGCTGTTCCCTATCACCTTACCACCTTCCAAGTGTTTGCAGATGATTTCTGCAAGAGGCCCAAGAGACAAAGAAAGAGCTTGTGGCACTTCTCTAAAATCTGGCTTAATCCTGGTTCCACGGAAGTCAATGACACTGAATTCCCAGCAGCAGAATCCGGCCCTTCGCAAGCACGTTGGGTTGGGAAGCGAAAGGGGGAAAATGCTGCATGTTCCTGTGTATCTCCAAAACCAAACTGGCAATGAGTTTGGCTAGAAGCCTTTCAGAACAAACAGCAAACCTTGTTCTCTTCTGTCTGCCCTGGAGTTTCCCCGCAGGGAGCTGGGGGGGGGGGGGGGGGGGGGCCCCTCCGAGAGGTTTGGGGGGGGGGCTAATCATCAACTTCCCTCTAAAAGGGCTACATCAGAATAAGGCTCAATTTTAGCAACATGTATGCTATAAAGGGGGGCAGGGTCATAAGGGATTGAATGGGATTGGGAATCTTGGTCTCAGTAGCCTTATTGTACTGTACCCTTATGTGATGGGGTGTGTGGCTTTTCCAGCGCCCGTGTCAGATTGAAAGGGCGGGCAGAGACAAGTAGGACAGTTCTCAGGTATGTATATTCCTTACGGATGGCCCGGGAGCTATTTTCTCCAATGTCACTAGAAGCCTGAGTTAGTGTCTGACATTCGGCCTGCTGCAGTAGGTCGCAGTTCCCGCTGACACCTCCAAAGGAAGGTGGGACGGTAGAGGAAGGATGGGCCAGTGGTTAGGGTGCCACACTAGGATTTTGTAATTCTCTTCTCCGCAGGCTTCCTCAAAACCCTGATCAGCTCCCATCCAACCCTACAGGTGCCTACATTGCTGCCAGCGGGCCGGGCACACGCAAAGCCACCTCGCTCCTGACGTGCTCTGGTAGGAGTCACACACTAGGCATTCCCCTGCCGGCGGGGCTGCTCTCGTAACCATCCCCTCTGAGAACAGATTTAGCTCACTTCACCCACTTCTCACTGCAAACAGCAGCAGCAAAGGGTTTGAATTTTAATGCAACTGGAAACTTCTGAAACCAGAACCCTGAGGCCAAGTGTTTCCAATGGGACCAGCGGCTGGACTGCCTTGAACACCTGCTCTCTGGGAAACAGGCTCCTTTGGGCATCTCTTCTCCCCACTCCCCCCAATCACACACCCCATCCCCCGCTTGCTGCATTCCCACAGCACCGTGCGCCCTTTGTTTTGGGAGAGCCTCCCACGGGAGCCCTACGCGCCAAGGCCCCACGGCCTGCGCATGGACCCCACAGACCCCAGCCCGGGAAGGGTTTGTCCCGCCGGAATGACCCCACTCCCCAGGGCCTGGGGCTGCCTCTAGCTGCTGCTGCCCCCCGGGGGAGGCCCCACTTCACTGGTGGGGGGTGATCCTGGCCCCATTCTCCCAGCCCCCCCTCCTGGCCCCCGCCTCCAGCCCTTGCCACACACCCAGCCCCCTGCTGGGTCATGGGCAGCCCCGGGGGCGGGGGGGGGAGACCAGCAGCTGTTGGCCCATCTCGGCCCCCGTACGCGAAGGGGGCGTGGCCTGCCCCAGCCCGGAAGGCGGCTCCGGGTGCTGGGGAACCACGTGGAAGCGGCGACCGCCGCCTGTTTGCTGCGCTGCGGACGCGGCTCGGTCCCACCCCGAGGCCGGGCATGGCGACGGCGGCGAAGAGGCCCAAGGTAGCGGGCCGGGGGAGCGGGCGGGGGGGGCTCGGGACCCTGCCCCCCCCTGGGCGGCTCCAGCACTGGGGGGGGGCGGCGCGAGCTGCGGGGGCAGGGGGAGGGACCCCCCCCCCCCCGAGCGGTGCCGGGGACCCCTGGGGGGGGAAAAGCCCCGGGGGCGGGGGGCGGTCCCGGTTCCCCGGGTAGCGGTGAAAGGGGCAGGTGCCTGCCCCACGTGCTCCTCCCAGGGCTCGGCTCGGGCCGGGGCCGCTGCCGGAGTGAGACGCGTTCACACCGGAGTGAGGAAGAAGCGGATCTCCCAGGCTCGCCTGGGCAGGGCCGAGGAGGGAGCTGCGGACTCAGCTGCAGCCTGGTGTGAGCCTGGCTGGGGAAATACCCCCCCTCCCCCCCGGGGATTTGACTCCATCTCTATCAGAAACGGGGTGTGACTCGGGTAGGGGGCCTGGTCTCTCAGTCTTTATATTGACACTTGCTAGCCCAACAGCTGGTCACTGTTATCAGGGCTACGGGTGAGAGCGAAGAGTCAGCCCCTGTATTTATTAACTTCAAATCTACTTCAATTAAAACGTTCTTCAAGTGGGTTGGACTAGATGACCTCCTGAAGTCCCTTCCAATCCTGATATTCTATGATTCTAACACTCTAAGACTCTAAGATCTGAGATGGGTGGTGGGCAGTGGGGCGGCAAAGTTTGCAGATGCTACTAAATTACTCAAGATAGTTAAGTCCAAAGCAGATTGAGACTAGATACAAAGGGATCTCGCAGAACTGGGTGACTGGGCAAGGAAATGGCAGATGGAATTCAGTGTTGATAAATGCCAAGTAATGCACATTGGGAAACATAATCCCAGCTCTACATATACAATGATGGGGTCTGAATTAGCTGTTATCACTCAAGAAAGATCTTGGAGTCACCGTGGCTAGTTCTCTAAAAACATCTGCTCAGTGTGCAGCGGCAGTCAAAAAAGCAAACAGAATGGGTTAGGAATCATTAGGAAAGTATCAATAATAAGACAGAAAATATCACATTGCCTCTGTATAAATCCATGGTACACCCACATCTTGAATACTGTGCACAGTTCTGGTTGCCTCATCTCAAAAAAGATAGATTCGAATTGGAAAACTCACAGAGAAGGGCAACAAAAATGATGAGGGGTATGGAACGGCTTATGAGGAGAGCTTATAAAGACTGGGACTGTTCAGCTTGGAAAAGAGAGTTCAGGGGGAATATGATGGATGGCTATAAAATCATGACTGGTCTGGAGAAAGTACATACGGAAGTGTTATTTACCCCTTCTAAAGGAAGTATTTCTTCACACAATGCACTGTCAACCTGTGGGACCTGTGAAGGCCAAAAGTATAAGTGGGTTCAAAAAATAATTAGATAAGTTCACGGAGGACAGGTCCAGCAATGGCTATTGGCCAAGATGATCAGGGACACAACCCCGTGTTAGAATCATAGAATATCAGGGTTGGAAGGGACTTCAGGAGGTCGTCTAGTCCAACCCCCGCTCAAAGCAGGACCAATCCCCAGCTAAATCATCCCAGCCAGGGCTTTGTCAAGACTGACCTTAAAAACCTCTAAGGAAGGAGATTCCACCGCCTCCCTAGGTAACCCATTCCAGTGCTTCACCACCCTCCTAGTGAAATAGTGTTTCCTAATATCCAACCTAAACCTCCCCCACTGCAACTTGAGACCATTGCTCCTTGTTCTGTCATCTGCCACCACTGAGAACAGCCGAGCTCCATCCTCTTTGGAACCCCCCTTCAAGTAGATGAAAGCAGCTATCAAATCCCCCCTCATTTTTCTCTTCTGCAGATTAAACAATCCGAGTTCCTTCAGCCTTTTCTCATAAATCATGTGCTCCAGACCCCTAATCATTTTTGTTGCCCTCCGCTGGACTCTTTCCAATTTTTCCACATCCTTCTTGTAGTGTGGGGCCCAAAACTGGACACAGTACTCCAGATGAGGCCTCACCAATGTTGAATAGAGGGGAATGATCACGTCCCTCAATCTGCTGGCAATGCTCCTACTTATACAGCCCAAAATGCCATTAGCCTTCTTGGCAACAAGGGCACACTGTCGACTCATATCCAGCTTCTTGTCCACTGTAACCCCTAGGTCCTTTTCTGCAGAACTGCTGCCTAGCCATTCGGTCCCTAGTCTGTAGCAGTGCATGGGATTCTTCCGTCCTAAGTGCAGGACTCTGCACTTGTCCTTGTTGAACCTCATCAGATTTCTTTTGGCCCAGTCCTCTAATTTGTCTAGGTCCCTCTGTATCCCATCCCTACCCTCCAGCGTATCTACCACTCTTCCTAGTTTAGTGTTCTGGGTGTACCTAACCCTCTGTTTGCCAGAAGCTTGGAATGGGCGACTGGGGATGGATCACTCAATAATTGCTCTGTTCTGTTCATTCCCTCGGAAGCACCTGGCATTGCCGCTGTCGAAAGACAGGATACTGGGCTAGCTGGTCCATTGGTCTGACCCAGTATGGCTGGTCTTATGAAGGGTATGTCTACACTACGGGATTAATCCGAATTTACAGATTTCGAATTTTGGAAACAGATTGTATAAAGTGGAATGTATGCGGCCACACTAAGCACATTAATTCGGCGGTGTGCGTCCATGTATCGGGGCTAGCGTCGATTTCCGGAGTGTTGCACTGTGGGTAGTTATCGCATAGCTATCCCATAGTTCCCGCAGTCTCCCCCGCCCATTGGAATTCTGGATTGAGATCCCAGTGCCTGATGGGGCAAAAACCATTGTTGCAGGTGGTTCTGGGTACAGCCTCACCCCTCCCTCCATGAAAGCAATGGCAGACAACCGTTTCGCGCCTTTTTTCCTGGGTGAACACTGCAGACGCCATACCACGGCAAGCATGGAGCCCACTCAGCTCAAGACAGCAGTCATGAACATTGTAAACACCTTGCGCGTTCTCGTGCAGTTTATGCTGAACCAGGACCAGAAAAACGAGGCAAGGAGGCGGCGACGAGAGTGATGAGGACATGGAGATGGACACAGAATTCTCTCAAACCGCGGGCCCCGGCGCTTTGGAGATCATGTTGTTGATGGGGCAGGTTCTATCCGTGGAACGCCAATTCTGGGCCCGGGAAACAAGCACAGACTGGTGGGACCGCATAGTGTTGGAGGTATGGGACGATTCCCAGTGGCTGCGAAACTTTCGCATGCATAAGGGCACTTTCATGGAACTTTGTGACTTGCTTTCCCCTGCCCTGAAGCGCCACAATACCTGGATGAGAGCAGCCCTCACAGTTGAGAAGTGAGTGGCGATAGCCCTGTGGCAGCTTGCAAGGCCAGACAGCTACCGGTCAGTCGGGAATCAATTTGGAGTGGGCAAATCTACTGTGGGGGCTGCTGTCATGCAAGTAGCCAAAGCAATCACTGAGCTGCTGCTACGAAAGGTAGTGACTCTGGGAAATGTGCAGGTCATAGTGGATGGCTTTGCTGCAATGGGATTCCCAAACTGTGGTGGGGTGATAGATGGAACCCATATCCCTATCTTGGCACCGGAGCACCAGGGTACCCAGTTCATAAACCGCAAGGGGTACTTTTCAATGGTGCTGCAAGCAGTCGTGGATCACAAGGGACGTTTCACCGACATCAACGTGGGCTGGCCGGGAAGGGTTCATGACGCTCGCGTCTTCAGGAACACTACTCTGTTTAAACGGCTGCAGCAAGGGATTTACTTCCCGGACCAGAAAATAACCGTTGGGGATGTTGAAATGCCTATAGTTATCCTTGGGGACCCAGCCTACCCCTTAATGCCATGGCTCATGAAGCCATACACAGGCAGCCTGGACAGGAGTCAGGAGCTGTTCAACTACAGGCTGAGCAAGTGCAGAATGGTGGTGGAATGTGCATTTGGCCGTTTAAAAGGTCGCTGGCGATCGCTACTGACTCGCTCTGACCTCAGCCAAAGAAATCTCCCCATTGTGGAGCACACAGCAAGCAGCAATAACAATCTCTGTGAGAGTAAGGGGGAGACCTTTATGGCAGGGTGGGAGGCTGAGCAAATCGCCTGGCTGCTGATTATGCGCAGCCAGACACCAGGGCGATTAGAAGAGCACACCAGGAAGCGTGGCGCATCAGAGAAGCTTTGAAAACCAGTTTCATGACTGGCCAGGCTACAGTGTGAAATTTCTGTTTGTTTCTCCTTGATGAAAACCTGCCCCCTTTATTGACTCATTCTCTGTAAGCAACCCACCCTCCCCCTTCGATCACAACTTGCTTTCAAAGGAAATAAAGTCACTATCATTTAAAAATCATATATTTTTTATTAATTGATTATAAAAAGAGGGAGAGAACTGACAAGGTAGCCCGGGTGGGGTTTGGGAGGAGGATCGGAGGGAAGGAAAAGGCCACTAAAAAAAGGTTAAAATAATGACTGCCTTTTGCTTGGGGTGTCCACTGGGGTGGAATGGGAGGGTGCACGGAGCCTCCCCCCCGCGTTCTTACACGTCTGGGTGAGGAGGATATGGAACATGGTGCGGGGGGAGGGGGGTTATACAGGGGCTGCAGCGGCAGTCTGTGATCCTGGTGCCGTTCCTGAATCTCCACCAGACGCCGGAGCATGTCTGCTCACGCAGCAGCCCCAGCGTTGCATCCTGCCTCCTCTGATCTTCCTGCTGCCACCTCTCATCTCGAGCGTCTCTCCTCTCCTCATGTTGGTCCCTCCTGTCCTCACGTTCGCTGGCATCTTTCCTGTACTTTGAAACCGTGTCCTTCCACTCATTCAGATGAGCTCTTTCATTGCGGGTGGATTCCATGATTTCCGCGAACATCTCGTCTCGCGTCCTCTTTTTCCGACGCCTTATCTGAGATAGCCTTCGGGACGGAGGAGGGAGGCTTGAAAAATTTGCAGCTGCTGAAGGGAGGGAGGGAAAAAAGGGAGAGAAGTATTTAAAAAGATACATTTTACAGAACAATGCTTATACTCTTTCACGGTGAACAACACTATTCACATTACATAGCACATGTGATTTCTGTGCAAGGTCGCATTTTGCATCTTAATATTGAGTGCCTGTGGCTTTGCTGTTAGAGATCACAGACACAGGTCCGGGCAACAGAATTCGGCTTGCATGCGGCCATGGTAAGCCATTGTCTTTTGGCTTCTGCGCCCTCCTTTCCCACATACCAAGCAAAGCCCGTTGAGTGCTGTGGTTTTCCTGTTAACCTGCAGCAGCAGAAAACAAACTAACCCCCCCCCCCCAGTTCTCTGGGATGATCGCTTTATCCCTCCCCCACCGCGTGGCTGGTATCAGGGAAGATCCCTGCTAGCCACACGAGAGAAGCTCAGTGCCAACCTCCCCCCCCGCCCCCCCCCTGGCTTGGCTTACTACAGGAAGGATTTCTTTTCAGCCACAGGCAAACAGCCCAGTAGGAAGGGCCACCTCTGTCCCCTTAATTAAATTCCCATATTTCAACCAGGTTACCATGAGCGATATCACTCTCCTGAGGATTACACAGCGAGATAAAGAACGGATGTTGCTTGAATGCCAGCAAACACCGGGACCATACGCTGCCAGGCTTTGTCATGCAATGATACCAGATTACTTGCTACTAGCATGGCGTGGTCAAGTGCCCTACCATGGAGGACGGAATAAGGCTGCACTGCCCAGAAACCTTGTGGCAAGGCTTTTGGAGTACCTCCAGGAGAGCTTCATGGAGATGTCCCTAGAGGATTTCCGCTCCATCCCCAGACACGTTAACAGACTTTTCCAGTAGCTGTACTGGTCGTGAATGCATCCCAAGTCCTCAGGGCAAATTAATCATTAAAAAACGCTTGCTTTTAAACCATGTTTTATATTTTAAAAGGTAAACTCACCTGAGGTCCCTTCCATGGGGTCATGGTCTTGGATACTGGCTTGGGAGGGTTCGGAGGGTACTTCACTCAGGCTGAGAAAAAGATCCTGGCTGTTGGGGAGAACGGAGTGCTGGGTGCTCTCCGCAAGCTCCTCCTCCTCCTCCTCCTCTTCCCCATCCTCAGAATCCTCAGGTGTGGCTGAGATTACCCCCGCCTCGGAATCCACGGTCAGAGGTGGGGTAGTGGTGGCTGCCCCCCCAGAATTGCCTGCAGCTCAGCGTAGAAGTGGCATGTCTGTGGCTCTGACCCGGAGTGACCGTTTGCCTCCTTGGTTTTTTGATAGGCTTATCTGAGCTCCTTAACTTTCACGCGGCACTACTATGGCCTCTCTCCATCATGTCCTTGGAGATTTTTTCAAAAGTTTTGGCATTTCGTCTTTTCGAACGTAGTTCTGCTAGCACTGAATCCTCTCCCCATATAGCGATCAGATCCAGTACCTCCCGTAATGTCCATGCTGGTGCTCTTTTTCGATTATCGGCCTGCATGGTTACCTGTGCTGATGAGCTGAGCTATCTGTGGTCACCTGTGCTCTCCACGCTGGGCAAACAGGAATTAAAATTCAAAAGTTCGTGGGGTTTTTCCTGTCTACCTGGCCAGTGCATCCAAGTTCAGATTGCTGTCCAGAGCGGTCAGAATGGTGCACTGTGGGATAGCTCCCAGAGGTCAATACCGTCGAATTGCGGCCACACGAACCCTCATTCGAAATGGCAATATCGATTTCGGCGCTACTCCCCTCGTCGGGGAGGAGTACAGAAATCGATTTTAAGAGCCCTTTATTTCGAAATAAATGGCTTCGTTGTGTGGACGGATGCAGGGCTAATTCGATTTAACGCTGATAAATTCGAATTAAACTCATAGTGTAGACCAGGCCGAAGATTAAAATCTGAAAATGAAATCAGACCGACCTTTTCACCTTGCTCACGTTAGCAACAAATATGCAGGAATAACGAGTCAGAAAAACACCTGAACAAAGCAACTTGACTCTAGAGGGAGCGAATACAGGTTTTAGGTGGAATCTTTTCATTGGAGCTGGTCAAACGGTTTTAAATCATTTTCACTAGGAAAGTAGCTCCCGTTAATTAGCAGCTTAGTCACGAACCAGCCCTGATTTGTCTAATACTTGTTACGGAATTTTTACCCTGTGGGTTGTTTGCAGACCGCCCACTTTGACCGTTGGCTGTTCTGTGTTGTATGAATGGCCGTGCAGTCTTGTTTCTGCTCCCTCATTGGGTAAGTGACGCTTTGAGCTTGTCTACACTACCGCTTATGGCGATGGAACGTACGTCGCTCAGGGGTGTGGAACGCAAGTGACGTTGACGTAAGCGGTAGTGTAGACAGGCCCTTTGTCACACTCTTCTAGAATGAACTTTTGGACTGGAATGATCACCCTGCCATTTGAAACATTTGGGATTAGCGAAGGATTAGACACCTGCACGGGCTAGCCGAGTGATTGTGACTGACAATAATGGCCCCCCAAATCCTTGCAAATGGAGCTCTGTGTTCTGATCGAGGGGGGGAAATCCCAGATCGTTGTGTTTTCCCTGCTACTTGGCTCACTTTTTCATTAACAATCCAGTTTCAAATGCTCTCTTTCAATGAGAATTTGGTAATTTTTGGTAATTTTTGCCATTTTCCTTTAATGTAAGTTTAGAACATAAGAACGGCCAGACTGGGTCAGACCAAAGGTCCATCTAGCCTAGTATCCTGTCTACCGACAGTGGCCAATGCCAGGTGCCCCAGAGGGAGTGAACCTGACAGGTAATGATCAAGTGATCTCTCTCCTGCCATCCATCTCCATCCTCTGACAAACAGAGGCTAGGGACACCATTCCTTACCCATCCTGGCTAATAGCCATTAACGGACTTAACCTCCGTGGTCTGGCTGGCTTGGTCTGACCAGGCAGACAATTCAACCAACAGTACATGGGAGGGAGATGGGTTTTTATTCCCTTTGGGGCACAGACTCACCAGTGGCGGGGGGAGCTGCCATGTCAAGTAAGGGTAACAGTAACTATTACAGTTTGGAAGAATGCTAGATCCTGTTGAATCTAAGAGCAATGGCAAATAATCTTCTGCCTGTGCACGTGCCACAGAACGGACGACCTACCCGCAGAAGTGACTAAACCTGTTGTAAACGGTTCTGAGATCTTTTACTTTCCAGTTCAAATCTTCTGGTCACGGCAGAGAACAGCCGTCTTCTGTCATTCTTCCTTTCTTCGCTGCAGCAAGGGCCTATGTTGGGAGAGAGAAGCATGACTGGCCTGTCTTCTGATGATGATCTCGCATACATAAATATCCCCTTTCATCCCAAAGCACTTCACTCACCGCAGGATTGCGGCCATCTCTGTCCAGAAACACAACCGATGTGTAACCGTGAACTGCAGCCGTTTAAGACAGGAAGTGAAGGAACTAGGGTATCCAATTGAAGCGATAGGGAGAGCTAGTAGTAATACTCTGTCCGTCCATAGACTTCAGAGCAGTTTACAAAGATGGGTAGGCAGCTGCCAGGCGAAATGAAATGATCTGCCCAATGCCAGAGTGAGCCTGGCTTTGCTGGAAATAGCACCCAGGTCTCCTAATGTCTGATCTGTTGTTCCGTCCACTGGAGCCTAGTGCTTCCCTCTGTGGTGTAATTTACCCAAGCTGGAACTCAGCGAGGCCTCCAGGGTTACCCTCCGTCCTCTGCCATGAGATCTCTCTAGGGCCTGAGCTGTCCTTGTTCCCTAAGCTTGCCCCTTATTTCTGTTAGCAGGTGGCTGCAGGGGGCAGCCTTGCGGAGGATGGCAGAGCTGACGCCCTTTCTGGCTTCCTGGATTGGTGTGAGAAGGTCGGGTTGGAGCTCAGCCCAAAGGTAGGAGGATCCGGAGGATGGAAGCCGGTTATCGAGTGACCCTCACCCAGGTGTGAGTCCCAGTGTTCAGAGGTCCCAGGCTGAGTGTGGCGTATGGGTATCTGCAACCCGTCGGGCTGATAGGGCAAGGCTGGCTTCCCAAGGGCAGGGTGATCACTCATCCGTGGACGTTCTCGGGGGGGGGGGGGGATTGGAGTGGTGGGCAGGGAAGCAGCGAGGCTGAGTGCGAGGGCTTACGAGGTGGTGATCTCCAGTTACTTCGCACGTGCACTAGTGCAAGGGTGCAGCCGTCGGGTTGGCTATAGGTTTGTTATTGAAAAACCAACCTCCTGTTTACATTGGCAGGAAATCCCTCCGTGAGGGATGAGTCTAGCTGTCTGGGCTTCCATGGATGCTGCTTGGACTTATTCTCCTGACCTCTTGGCTTCATTTCCCTTGCAACCCTTCACGGCTGTCCCATCAGAGGCAGGTTTTCACTGGGGTCCCCACAGGCCCTGACAGGCACCTCTCTCCTAGGTCTACGTGAGCAAAGAGGGCACGGTGTCAGACTACGGCCTGTTGGCCAGAGAGGACCTCCAGATCGGAGAAGTCCTCTTCACCATTCCAAGAGCCGCGCTCCTGTCCCAGCACACCACCTCCATCCGGTCCCTCTTGGAAAAAGGTACGAGAGCAGGACACGGGGCGTAGAGCTAAGGAGCCCTGCAGCTGACTTCAACTGGCTGCCACGTTGGAACAAAGTTCTTGGAAGTCGGGAGTTTTCCTAACCTGGTTCTCTTTGATTCTCCTGTTCCCTTGGCTGCTCTGTCACCATGTTGGCCCCCATTTTCTCTTCCAGCCGAGGCAGGAAAAAGGGAGATTGGATAAAATGTTATGGTCGCGCCTGCTGTGGGTAGACCAGTGATTAATATGCAGGAGTCTGGAGAATTTCAGGGGCAGCAAATGGGGCCTTAGTCAATGGCCAACGTGCTCTTGTCTGCTTCAGGCAGCCTGTAGCCTGGGGGAATCTCATGGGGAGGGGGAGTTGTCTGAGCTCGAGCTGGAGAGGGCAGTGGTTTGCAGAGCTTCTAATGAACAAGTGGGGTAAGGGATTGTTTCCCTGCCATCCTGGGAGTAGCAAGTCTGGAGTCCCCAACTCAACCCCACCCCTTCTGCCGGGGAGCCTGGAGCAGGGCAGTGATTTTGGTCCTTAACAGCCAATGGCACTGGCTCTCGGTGAAGGAATAATAGGACCTGGGATCTCAGCATGTTCCTCCCCTCCTCTCCTTCCTGTCTCCTCTGTGTCTGGCTCCCTAGACCAAGCGTCGCTGGAGAGTCAGTCTGGCTGGGTGCCTCTCCTTCTGTCTTTGCTGCATGAATACACGGCCAGCAACTCCCACTGGCGTCCCTACTTCTCGCTCTGGCCTGACTTCAGCAGCCTGGATCACCCCATGTTCTGGTAAGATTATACCACACGCTAGCGTCAGGCTGCAGAAATCCAGCCGCCTGCGCGAGACTCGGTCCTGGGCAGTGGGTCCCTCCTGCCACTGGGGTGCTGGCTCTTGGGAGTCGGTGAGCTCCCGGGGATAAAGCCCTGGTCTGGCCTCAGTTCTGTTCCTGGCTATGTGCCTCCTGCCCTCTTTGGCTGTTTCCCCAAGGGTCAGCAGCACTGGGGCTAGGCATGGATGTCGCTCGGTTCTGTTAGATACGTTAGCAGCCTAGGTGGCTGCCCATCCTAAATGCGAGCCAGGGTTTACGGTGGGTTGAACTTGGGGTCTGGGCTCACTAGATGCAGACAGCAGTGGAGTGGGAGGCCATTGAGGATCCAGGAGACTTGACTCAGGGGTAACTATATTAATTCAATCCCTTCCTGGGTGGTGGTGGGGATCGTCTCTGCCACGCCTGTCCCTTGATACAGGCCTGAAGAAGAGAGGGTGAGGCTCCTACAAGGCACTGGCATCCTCGAAGCGGTGGACAAAGACCTGGCCAACATCCAGCTGGAGTACACCTCCATCATCCTGCCCTTCATGGAGTCCCACCTGGACCTCTTTGACCCCAAGCTGCACACGCCGGAGCTGTACCGGAGGCTGGTGGCGTTCGTCATGGCCTACAGGTGAGACGGGGAGGTGCAGTTCCGCAGCAGACGTCTCTGCATCCAGAGGGGCTGAAGGAATCTCTTTGGGGAGTCAGACGTGAGGGCTAGATTGCACCTCACTAGGCTTCTCCTGGCAGGAGGTGGCTCTGGCGCTGCCACCGCCTGGGCACACTGCGTACACGTCTCTGTGCCCTCCGAGGGAGCCAGCCGGCCCCTGGCAGTCACGGGCCCAGGGTGGGCTAAGGGCCACGGCTTCATTTCGCAAGGCTGGGAATCGGCTTGTCCTCACCTCTTCTCCCAAATAGCTTCCAGGAGCCCCTGGATGAGGAAGACGAGGATGAGAAGGAGCCCAACCCACCCATGATGGTGCCCATGGCTGACATTTTGAATCACGTGGCCAATCACAATGCCAACCTGGAATATTCCCTGGTGAGTAGGTGGGGAGCCACGGGAATGGAGAGTGTATGTGTCCCTAGGCATTGGCCATGACTCATTACTCATCCAGCTGGTTCTATCTGATCACGACCAGCCACGGTGTGGTTCCCCTCTGGCCTTTGATGGTGTGCTGGAGGAGAAGCCCAGCCCTGGCTCTCCATTGAGACTCATCGATTCCAGAGCCAGGTGGGGGGCTGTTAAATCATCCAGTCTGCTGCCCTGCCTGCCACAGCCCACAGCACCTCACCTCTTACCCGGGCCTGAGCTCCAGGACTGGCGGCCTGGATTGCTCCTGCTTGGCGGAGGGAACGCTCGGCTACAGTAGCTCTAGGGGATTCCACGCTCCTGGCCCCCAATGCAAGGACCAGATCTGCCCGGGTTCTGCAGGGGCAGCAGGGTGGCGCCTTTGCCAATCTGATTGTGAGGGGGGGCGTTGGTGCCTCCACGTTGGGAGATGGGGGCTTGGCTCTAGGACATGCCGAGGGCCTGAGCACTGGGAAGTACGTTTTCCTGGAGGGAATGATGCTGGCCTGGTTTGCCCTCTTTGAAGCCTGATGTCCCTGTTTGCCATAGAACGAGCACGGGTAATGGCAGTGCAAACGCTCCCACCCCAGCGACTCGGGGCGGGGAAAGGGCTTGGTGGGCCACCAAGGTACTTGTATGTGACAGGAGCAGGACCGGAGACTGAGAGGTAGCAGCTAATGTTACACTCACCTCTGTGTTTGCCAGGGACTGACTGACTCCCCCAGGTCAGCCTATTGCACAAAGTATTGGATGGGACACAGAGAAACCCGCCTGGGTTTGCCAGGCAATAGGATTTCCTGGTGTGTCCCAGAATCACTTTCTCTCCTCCCGGTGTGGGGAGCCAGCAAGGCGTGGTTCCCTTGCAGTCGTGGCAGGGGGAACTTGGCCAGACTTGCCCCATAAGGACGGAGTCTCTTACTCGGAGGATCGTGACGCTGCCTTCACCTGCGTGCCCGTTCCGTCCCTCTGCCTACAGGAGTGTTTGAAAATGGTCACCACGCAGCCCATCAGCAAAGGCCACGAGATCTTCAATACCTACGGCCAGATGGCCAACTGGCAACTCATGCACATGTATGGCTTTGCTGAGCCGTACCCCGGCAACACGGACGACACTGCCGACATCCAGATGGTGACTGTGCGCAGGGCTGCCCTGCAAGGTGAGTGGCTTGTAGCATTTGGAGGGAGGGTAACTTAATTCTAAATGACTCTGGTAGATGGAGACTATAGGCCATATCTGCAGCCCTTTAAACAAAGCGTGTAGTAGCCAACTCATCGTGGGGCACCCACAACATTTGGCTTCAAGGCAGCCACAATCAACATCTGCCTCTGCTTTAGAAACAGTCCCTGAAACTGCCGTTTGCCTCTGAGTTTTAAGTGCTCAGCACTTCCTGGCAATCAGGCCTCTAAGGCATTGCACATTGGGGTACAAATTCACTAGTGGCTTTTGAAAGTCTTGGCCTGTGTCTCACTCTACAGAGTTTTGTCCCCCCCCCAATGTGTAGTGGGCGTGGTTGACTTGTCTCTCCTGTCGTCCTCAACCAGGTGCCAGCACTGAAGCGGAGCGGCAGCTGGTCTCTGAGCAGTGGGATTTCCTTTGCCAGCTGGAGATGGTGGGGGAAGAAGGAGCCTTTGTGATTGGCTGGGAGGAAGTGTTGACAGAGGAAGAGCTGTCCATGACATTGAAGGTGCGTGGTGCTCCGGTGGAAGGGAGTTCAGCGCTAGGTGACAGATGTCTGATGGCTGCACTGATCCTGCCCCATGGAGTCTTGTTCTCCAAAGGCTTGGCTGACTTGTGCTGTTGTACCTTCAGTGTGGGGTTACAGGTAGAATCTCTGCCTCGAGAGAATGGAGCTGCTCTGGAAGAGTTTATAAATACTGTTTGTTGACCTGTTACAGGGATTTTTTGCTGTAAGAATAAAGGGGATGGGGAAATTTTGCCTTCCTGTGATTATAGCTTTACTCAGAACTGGGGGAGCATGATCCCCTCTGGAAAGGGTCCACTTGCACAGATGGAGTCTGGTGCTCTGGGATTATATGGAGGTCAAGTTCGAGTCTAGTGTGAAGGAGATGTGTGAGCTTCCTAGGGTAGTTGAGTCTCCGTGCTCTGATCCTCTTCAAGAGGGAGAAGCACTGTGACAGATGAGGGGATGTGTCCATGTGGCATTTAATTGTATTGTTAATGCCATGCTGTATTTCAACATCCCTTTGGAATGTAACCTTCAGTGTGGCTGAGAGCTCCGTTTTGTACCAGGGCGAAACTGTCCAGGAAGCTGAGAGCACAGTCACAGGCTATCAATACAGTAACTCCTCACTTAAAGTCGTCCCAGTTAACGTTGTTTCGATGTTACGTTGCTGATCAATTAAGGCACATGCTCGTTTAAAGTTGTGCAATGCTCCCTTCTAACGTCGGCTTTGTCCACTGCTTGCAGGAAGAGCAGCCCGTTGCAGCTAGCTGGTGGGGGCTTGGAACCAGGGTGGACTGGCAGCCCCCCTATCAGCTCCCCGCTCCCCTAAGTTCCCTGTGCAGCAGCCACCCAACAGGCTAGCAATTGCAGCTGTCCCTCCCCCCACTGCCATGTGCTGCTCCTGTCCTCTGCCTTGGAGCTGCTCCCTGAGCCTCCTGCTTGCTGTGCAGGAGGGGGGCTGTCAGGGTGTCCCCCTCCCCCCTGCTCCTACACTCCACTTACCCTTTCTGTGTCCCCACCCTGCTCTATATGGAGAGAGCCTTGGGCAGCAGCTGCTGTCTCAACTTCCTGATCCACTTAAAAAGACAATGCATTTAAGAGTGGGGCAGTGTGCATCTCTGTCTGCTATGCGGTCTCCCCTCCCCTCCATTCCTGCTGTCTTGTAGAGTGTGAGGCTACATTAACAATGTGTTAACCCTTGAGGGCTCAGCTGAGTGCTAGTTCATCATTTAGCACAGAGGTTCTCAAACTGGGGGTTGTGACCCCTCAGGGGGTTATTACATGGGGGATCACGAGCTGTCAACCTCCACCCCGCTTTGCCTCCAGCATTTATAATGGTGTTAAATATTTAAAAAGTATTTTTAATGTATAAGGGGGGGGGGTCGCACTCAGAGGCTTGCTATGTGAAAGGGGGCACCAGTACAAAAGTTTGAGAACCACTGATTTAGCAGCAAGGCATCCCCTGGGAAATATCCCACCCTCTAACTTCACCACCTCAACCAAGCTTCACCATCATAGCTGTGAACAGTATTAAATTGTTTGTTTAAAACATATACTGTGTGTATATCTATATAATATATTGTTTTTTGTCTGGTGAAAAAAATTTCCCTGGAACCTAAACCCCCTTTCCCCCCCCCCCCCCCCCCGCCCTGCCATTTACATTAATTCTTATGGGGAAATTGGGTTCACTTAACATTGTTTTGCTTAAAGTTGCATTTTTCAGGAACAGAATTACAACATTAAGTGAGGAGTTCCTGTCTTGGAGGGTCTATGCTTGTGACAGCCCTCCTGAAGCTAGCGGGGAAGGGGGATGTGTTTAACACCCTGCCAAAAGGCCCCTTCACTCCCCAGCTGTGCACTAGCAGCACTGAAACTAGGAAGCAGACCCCTGAAAATCAGGATCTTAAATGTTGAGCTGCTTTTTTTTAAAGCTTTCACAGTACAGTTGACTAACATTTAATCTCTTATCAGATGAGAATCTGTTTTCATGTGAAGGGTCCAGGCACAGGGAATTTTAAGACACACACCAGCCTTCCCCCCTCAGGACTATGACAGTGTTGCAATAAAACTAAGTACTGCTGGGAAACTAAGGCCCCTGAAGATCAGAGCCTGTACTGAAGAAAGCATGCTCAGCATGTGTGTCTTGGCCAAAGGCCCCGCACTAAACCAACTAGCTGATTTGATAGCCTGCGGCTGCGTTATTCACTACCTCCTCAGTGCCCCTTCCCGCTGCAGATCCGTGGGAGTCCAGGAGGATTGTGTTGTGCTAGCTGCGGTAGAGACCCTCCCCCCTGATCTAGTGTTGAGTAGCTGAAAATTGGGACCTTGATTCTACTCAACCTTAGTCATGCGTCACTGCCTGAGCTAATGACTAGGTATCCGTGTGGTTGGTTGCAGGTGCTGTGTATGGCTGCAGAAGAATTCAAAGAGTTTAAAGAGCATGAGGGCTGGGAAGAAGACACAGAGGATGAAGAGAGCTTTACTTTGTCTAACGAGACAATACCCAGACTCAAAGCCTCATGGAAGAAGCTTCTCCATGACAGTGCGCTGCTGACGCTGGAGTCTTACAGCTCAGACCTGAAAGCAGAGCAGGACTTGCTCAATGACAAGGTGGCTTATGGCAAACTAAGCCCGAGAGAGCAGCGGGCCTTGCAAGTGCGCTATGGGCAGAAGAGGATCTTGCACCAATTGCTGGAGCTGACAAGCTAGCAGAGGCTGAACTGGGAATTGCAGCCCTTGTATAAAGTACACCTTGCGCTCTCTCCCCCACTGGTGGGATGGATGGGGTGGCCACTTGTATTCAGGAAGAACAGAGGATGAGAGTTGATTTGGACCCACTTACTCCTGGTATTTCTGTATTGGCTTTTCATCTACCTCTTGACTTTTCTATAAATTACATACCTGTCTTACTGGGGAGGGAAAAGTCTGTTCCTTAAATTTCAGCCGTAAGTGTGACATGCAGGAGGGTTCCCCGTGTTCAAGAACCCAGTCTAGCCATGCTAACTTTGAGGCAGTGGCCCACCCCTTGGCCACTAATTGTCACAGAACACTGATTTTATACATGCAAGGATGACACCTTGAAGTGATTCTCATTCACTGTTACAAGCATCTAAGAAAATGCTCACTCTAGTCACCAGGGAGTTTTCCATTAGTAGAACATTCTGCTTACAGCCTTCAAACTCTGTAAGCAGCTGTGCCTGCAGCCCTGCCCTGCCAGTAACTTGTTCAAAGCCTGAGTAGGGCTGCAGATTTTTCCCAAGCTTCAGACTACAGGTAGTACATTTCAGAACCCTGGATCTGCTACAGTTGGCTCAATTCTCTCCCTTGGACTTTATTCTGCGTACAGTCAAGCAACATGCCCTGAGACAGAGCTAGCAGCTAGCATCATATTGTTACTCAATTTTGCTGTAGGTAAAGCCTGAGGTGTTTTGGGGTGCAACTGAGATGAACATGGGCTTTTAGCGCTATGCACTTTTTTGGCCAGTACGTGACAGGATGTTTTTACCTGCTTTTGAGATGGCAAGAATTCCTCTGGGGTATTAGCGCTCAGTCCTAACAGTGAGGAGGGGTGGCTATTTTGCTTGGCTGCTCTCTGCAGACAGTCTAAGGAGGAAGGCAGATAAGTGATTTGTGCCGTGCCATCTCTGCCATGCAGTAGGTAAAGGGATGCTTGGCAACACAAGTTGTCTTTAGGAAATGCTCCACTTTTTAGAGGCCTTGATGGTCACTGCCAGAATCTTAAGGTCCTACAATTCTACAGCCTGTTCAGGAAGAGAGAGCATGGAATTCCCTAGGTTAAGGTAGGCACATCTCTAGGAATGCAAATAACTAGGCCACATCTTTTTCTCTGAACGACTAAAAATGGTGCAGCTCTTTGTCAATGGGGTTTTCTTAAGTTAAAAGGGCTCCGATTCCTTAGTGAAATGGATTTTTTCCCCTTGCCTATTAATACTAAAGGCTGTGCAGGCCCAATGATGCCCTTTATGAAAGCAAAAGGAATTTGTACACCAGTTTGAGCTGGACTCTATTCCCTGTTCCTTAGCCTCTGCTCTGGTGGTGCTGCAGGCTGAGGGGAATTGTAGTTTTGTGCTTGCTAAAATAAAGGTATGACAGAAGTGTCACAGGGAAGTGAGATTTACTTACCAGAGCTTTTGCGTGCATCTTCTGCAGTCTTCTTTTCGGTGGGTATTTCTGGTTTCCTTTTAGTCCAGGGATCAGCAACCTCTGGCAAGCAGCTCGCCCAGGTAAGCACCCTGGCGGGCCAGGCCAGTTTGTTTACCTGCCGCATCTGCAGGTTTGGCCGATCGTGGCTCCCACTGGCCGCAGTTCACCGCTCCAGGCCAATGGGGGCTGCGGGAAGGGCAGCCAGCACCTCCCTCGGCCTGCGCCGCTTCCCGCCACCCCCATTGGCCGGGATCAGCAAAGCACAGCCAGCGGGAGTCATGATCAACCAAACCTGCAAACAGCAGGTAAACAAACTGGCCCAGTGTGCCAGAGGTTGCTGACCTGTTTTAGTCAATCACTTGTACTTGTCCAGTTGACAGCTGGGTCCTTGATTTCCCCTTATTCACCACTGCAGTAGAAGCAGCCTCTTCTAAGTAGGCAGGGGATGGAGGATAGGTTTGCATTTCTCCCACCAATTGAAAGTGTTGCAGGAGTTGATGATTTGGGGCAGTGAGCTTCTCTTTCACCTTGAGTGACCTGAAATACTCCTGTAAGATTGGCCACAGGGTGTGTGCACACTGTTGCTTTTGTCCTCAGCTACTGGCTAGCAGGTAGCTTGTGGTGCTGGTCTTAAGCCATGGTTGCATTGGCCTGGCTCTAGCCACAGGCCTGCTTCCTTCACCCACACCTAGAATTCACTGCATGGCAGGACCCTAATATGTGTGCCTACTCAAGGGAAGGAATCAGTCAGCCTTTTGCCTGGTTGCAGTGAAGTTGGGGGTGCTGGCTATGACCCTCTTCCTCATTCTGCTTTGCCAGCTTTAAGCAATTTTGTAGGAACAGGCTCAGCCTTTTGAGGCATTGCTTGAGAGAAACCATACATTGGGCATTTGGCCTGTCCCTATGACTATTTAGTTCAGTTCTTGATATGGGCTGCTACAGCTGAACTGCATAACTAAGTTAGTTGATACCAGCAGCATAGGTGCTGTTATCCAAAACCCTACTGCAGACCAAGCTAGGAAAGAAAAAGGGAACCCAGGCTTTTTCTTGGTATCTGCAACTAATAACCAGGTATCCTAGAAATTCATTTACCATGGGGAACACAGAATGTGGGAGGGTATCTGCTGTCAGGTTTCATTTTAATCATGGAAAAATGGATGTTCTTCATAAACTAGGATCCCTGCTAATAACAAGTAAGGCCTCATCACATTCAGCTGGAGGTCAGTGCAAGTGGCCGCCTGCCGGCCAGAACTGCCTTTGAAGTACTGTAGAGAGGTGCTGTACAAGACACTGGTCAGAGGCAGCTTGGGATGCCAGAGTTCCCCATGGTTGGGTCCTTGGCTCTATTTCTGTGTTGCCAAGGGAGACAACCTTGAGGTGAACATGCACTTGTTTGCAGGCTATTGAGTGGAGGTTTTTTAAAGGTAAGTGGGCATTTTTACATGAAGGTCCTTTCAGAACAGGGAAATGGCCACAGAGCTTTATCAATATTCATTTGAAGGGCTGGTGCTGTTCATGTCCAGTCTTTCATAATTTTTAAAGAATAAATGGGCAGCTTACCTTTGCAGGTAAAATTTTGCTATGAGACAAGCAAACATGCAACTTTCATGAGCTTTCTCCCTTATATATAAAGAAAGATAAAAAGGGGAAAAGCCTTTTAAGTCTTAGCACCTTTTAGGATTTGAGATTATTTGCCTTTGAAGCATGCAGGCCCTGCATCTGGAGCCATGAAGTTGTCAAACTGAACCTTGATGGATGAAAGCCAACCTATTAAGTGTCAGTAATTAAAAGTCAGCTACACATTAATAAGATCAGATTCCTTCGAGGAGATTTATGCAGGAATTATATGCATTTGATCACCAAGAGTTAAGACAACTGAGCTACAATTTACTGCTTTATCCACTTTCTCTCTTCTCCCATAATGCTATATTAACACAGCCTCTCCATCAGAGGCTAATCTAGCCAGGAAAACAGCCAAAGCTCATGTTTGGATGCTCTGACAACCTGCTAATGGTATCATTTGTGCATGTGAATTTGTGATTAACCTAAAGAGCCTCACTAGTGTTACACTACCATCCTCTGCCTTGAGATTGGAGTTCCAAACATGACGTTTACTTGAATTTTCTCAGCATTAGCTCAAGTTCAAAACGTGTGTCTAATGGGCCTGGCCCAGGTAGTATTGTACTATAGAACTTTGAAAACCCAGTAGAATGGTACTGCCGAGAATAAGCAGAGCTGCACTTGCTGCATGTCATGACTTTAATGTGTAACTACAGTATGCATACATACAAGAAGTGGGAGAACTAAAGCCCAAGAACTAGAAAGGCTACAAAATACAACACATGGACCAATACATTTACAAAACATTCAAAATCCTTACAAAATGGGCTGTATTGGTCCTTTGTTCTTTTTACAAACTTATGCTGTGTGGCCACAGGGGGACAGTTCTAGATTTAGCTCCCCCCTTCCAAAATTTACAAGTGTCAGGAAAAAAAGAAAAAAAAGCTATAGACCAGGTCTCTCTACTAAAAACAGCTGACCCTCTCCCGAAGGGCCTGAAGTTTCTCTTATCCAACAGAAAGGAGGCGGGCTCTGAAGGCTACCTCCCCCCACTGTCAGCAGTTGATTGGGGGGCAGGAGGGAGAAGCAACACTAGACCTTAATCCCAACCCCTCCCGCCCACATTCCATAGTATTCCCATATCCCAACACATCCACTTTTTTTTTTAAACAACTTAGTGATTTAAAGGTCCCCCATCCACAAAGAAAAAAAATAAGTTACATAATATTTAAAACTGGCTTTTCAATATTCTTTGGGAGTCCGGGAATGTCAGGACAAGGAGGTCTGCCCTAGACAAGTGCTTGGCATCAGCAGCTGCCCCTTTATTACAAGCTGGACAGGCACCAGTTATCCACCTGCCTTTAACACAATTTGCACAAACCCAAGAAGTCCAGACAAACGTTTCGGTTCCATGTATTTACACTAGTTCAAAATGATATTCACAGCATCTTCTAAATTTTGGCCAAGAGTCAAAATTTTGCTTTAAACTTTGGAACATGCCCACACAGACTTTCACCCAAAGGCTTGTTGTGTGTACCCAAATCGAGGGGCTGGGAAGGTCAGGAAGAGCTTTAAGGATTCTTCTGTCAGTTTGATGGGAAGGGGACCTCCAGGCTGGCACGCTTACAATACAAGATGCAGTTCATCTAACTGGCACCAGTGCCTTCCATCACTTGCTGTGCCTGCTTCTGCCCCATGCAGCACTGTGCAACTGACTGAAACAACCTAAACATGGACAGAAGAGCAAAAAAGTTGAGGGACAGAGCTATATAGTTCAGTAAAAATCTTCATTTTGAGACACCTTCAACACTGGGATTTCCTGTAAACATAGGAATGCAAGAGCTCACAATCCACCTAGCACCAAGCTGGATTTTGAGATGCTATTCTAAAGTAGCAGTCATGGAAGCTGTGGCATAATGGATAGTCCTTTTCCCAGTTTGATTTATAGCGCTTTCAGACAGGAATACAGTGATTTGAGATTTCAAAAAGAAAGCCACCCTCCACTACCGAACACAGCATTTATCAGAGATTTATGCAATAGCATGTTCCCATGTAATTTGAGATCATGGGGTTATGCAATCAAACATGTAAACAGAGGCACCAGAGTCAAGTGGACAGTAAACTGTCCTAGGAGTAGGACAAGTTCTAGGCTCACTTCTGCCAGCATATTCTGACGTGCTTCATTCCCCATAATCTGTAAAATGCAATTATTTCACCTGCTTCATGGATGCACTTAGATATCTATCCATGTAAAGCATTTTACAAGGCCAAAGTAGTAATATTTATTGTCACCTATTTTATCCAATGGGGCTGTGTCAGCTTAGTATGAAATGGAATATCACCATTAATATTTCCATTATGTGACTGAATAAACTAAAGTGAGCATGAGTTTGCAATTAAACCATACAAAACAAAGTTATCTACTCACTTCTCAATTTCCGGAGCACAGTGAACAAACTCATGGTTCCAGAATTTAAACGCTGGATTTTTTATCAGCTCAATGAAGGTAATGAGGAGACCCCATGGGTGAGGTCTATTTACAATCAGTCGTTCCAACAGTACCCTGAAGTACACAAAGAAAAAAAAGAAAAAAACAGGGAAGGCTCAACACAGATCTCCTACAAGACACTGATATTTACAACACAGCACAGTGAAGAGAACACATTTGCTCTTGCAAGCAGCATCAAATTGCACTAGGTGTTCTTGTTCTATAGCACTAGACAGTAACATTATACAAC